CCAGCAACAACCCTGAATATTTTGGGATGGATCACCAAGTTTTTCAAAGGGCCTCTTGCAGCTCCAGGCCCGGAGAGCTCGCTCGCTTGCTTGCTTGCCTGGAGGGCGGGCTGGGCTCTTCCTGCTCCACACCAAGGCCTGGAGACGCAGTCGTCTGTGGGAGACAGGCACGGGGCTCGAGGCGCAGAGAAGGGCAGGCTTCCCCGAGTTTTCAGAATCTGGACTCGACCCCGGGACTCATGCCTGCCAGGCCCTTCTCTTTGCCACTTGCTTGTGCCTTGCGGGCGCATTGTCTGACAGGCTGCTGTCAGCCAGCAGGTTCCCTGGCACTGTAGCAGCCCTGCGCCTTCTGGGATCTGACCCCCCGGGGCTGCCCCTTCCCAGCTGGGCCTCCATGGGTCGCTTACTCACGGGCTCTGAGCCTCAGTAACTCGGGGATCCTCCGCTCTTCACAGATGACCCTGGAGCCATGTTCAGCGTGGCTCCTGGCCCACGTGGAGCAGGAGCAGGTACTATATTGATAGTGATCTGCCCAGTACCCCCTTGTGCCCTGAGGGGACTCAGAGGACGTGGGAGGCACGGCCCTAGCCACCAAAGGCTTTCACCTGGTGGGAAGGGTCTGGCAGCACTGACACATTCAGAGGACACATCGCTCCCCACCCCGATCCTGGGAGGCTGAATTGGCCTCCCTTCCCGTAGCCCTGAGGGCCATGCCATCTCCCAGAACCCAAGCGTCCCCGCCACAGTCCAGGAGGATTTCCCAGGCCGGCGGCCCGCCCCTGCCCTCCCTGGGCCCTGGGAGCCCCGCTGTGGTACTTGGAGTGTCTGCTCGAGTCCTTCTTAATGCCTGCCTTTCCCCAGACCCCCGGGTTGGCAGTCAGCGAAGCTTCCCTGGAGGGCTCGGCAGGGGCAGAGGACGGCGCAGGGTCAGCCTCTGGAGGCGGGAGGGTGTCCTCCCTCGTCCTCCAGGCTCCTCCCAGCCCTGGAACCCAGCCCTCCTTCCTGCTTCAGCTGCGCTTCGCTGCTGGGCCCCACACTGGCCTCGGACTCCTGTGCTGAGACCAAACCCTGTTCCTGACATGCACAGTGACCTCTACTCTTCTCACTCACGCCCAAGTTCAAAGTGCCCGGGTTGCCTTGCCTTCGGCATGTAGGTCGTGGCAAGTAGTGAAAGGCCCTGCGGGAGGGTGCGGAACCTTGGTGCCCAGTGGCCTCGGCAATAGGGTCGCCTCAGTTCAAAGGCAGGAGCACAGACTCGTGGCCGGTGTCTGGGAGGGGCACTTTCTGTGGCTCGAGTCCAGCCCAGGTCCATGTGGGCGTGGGGGCCACAGGCTGTGGTCACTTCGGGCATCGGCAGGCCCAAAGGCCTCGAGGCCACATCTCTGAAGGACAGCCAGGCTGAAGGATGAGGGATCCTGCTCTGTCCCAGCGATTCCTCCAACCACTGTGTTAGGTCAGGCCCGAGATTTCATGTCTCTGAGCCGCAGTGTCCTCACTTCTGAAGCGGCAGCGCCTGCCCCGGGAGGTTGGGCAGATTCAGTGAGGCAATGTATACAAATTGCTTTTGGAAGTCGCCGTAAATTAAGGTAGCAGTCTTAAGTGCTTGTCTCGAGTGGTGAGAAGAGCAGCAAGCTTAAGATCAGGAGCTCCTGGCTTCGGCCCTGCTGTGTGACTTTGGGCAAGACCCCACCCCTCTCTGGGCCCCGGCATCCCAGTGTGGAAAGCGGGCATTGGTGTGACCCCTCACGAAGGCACTTTCTTCTTGGACGATTCTCTGAGAGAGGCAGCCCAAGGGGGTTCCGGTGTGGCAGAGGAAAGGGCCTGTGGCAGGGGGCTGAGAGCCTAGGTACCGGCTCAAGCCACAGACCAGATACGTCCTTCCCAGATGCTGCGGTGCTGTCCACCTGCCGCCCATGCCTGATTCAGCGCCTCTGGGGACCAGAGGGGGCTGTTTAGGGTCCTCCTGCACCCAGTGCAGGTTGCCTCCTCCTACCATTACCTCTCCAGGTGCTGCTCCCAGAAGCCTAATTAGATCTATCCCCCACTCAGCCGTGTCCATGGCCCCCTTGTTCTCGCCATTGCCAGGCAAGCCAGGGTGTAGGGCCAACTGCTTGTTTACCAGACCGTCTGTCTCCAGGATGAGGCCCAGCGCGGGAGGGAGGGGAGACGAGACGCAGGCACAGCCAGAGATCAACTGAGTCCTCCCCCCTCGGCTTTGAACCTGATGGCAAGGACCACTGCTATTCTGGCCAGCCTCCCCCCACCATCCCAAGGAAGGAGAACAAGGGTCTCGGGGTCAGGCTCCTCTGGGAGTCGGTTCTGGCTCCGAGAGCTTTCTAGCCTGCTGGGGACTTATCCCGTTTTTGCCATATATAATGCGCACTTTTTTGCCCGAACTTTTGAGGGAAAAATAAGGATGCACGTTATACATGGGAATTAGCACCGAAACGTGGGTGTGCATTATACCCAGCAAAATACGGTGGTTTCCTCACCTGTAAAAGGGAACAATGCTAATATCTGTTTTGCAGGGGGTTTTGGAAGATCAAGGAAGATAGTTACAGGGAACCACCCTTGGCACAGTGCATTCTCGTCGGGGCCCAGTGAATGGATGTTGGTCCCGTCCTACCCTCCCCGCACGCAGGCCTCCCCAGCTTCCGGTCTGCCCCCCTGGTGCTGGTTTCTCTCTCGCTGGACACGCCCAGAGCGCTTGGTGGGTGTGGCTGTTAACACTGCTCTCCAAGTACCAGGTCATTGATTCTCACCAGGCCTGAGTGAGTCCTTGGTCTCCACGCCTTGGACCAAGCCCAGGGCTGGCGCTGGTAGGCGTCTGGCACACACAGGAAGGAAGGAACTGGATGTGCAGCCGCTACAGTGCTTTCACCTTCATCATCTTCACGTTTTTTGGTGACCCCAGGAGTTAGACTGAGAATCCCCACAGCGGAGATGAGGAAACTCAGGATCAGGCGCTGGAAAGGGTGGCCCAGGTCTCCCATGCTGTCAGGGCAGAGCCCTTGCTGGTTGGAGCCCAGGTTTTCGGAGGTCAGGCTGGTCCTGCACCACAGCGACCTCACCTGGCAGGGGCGAGTACAGCACATTTCTCACTGCAGCAGCCCAGACATACGTACATTTACTTCCTCTGAGGGGGGCTTCTCCCATCACTGGTGCCCACCTGCCTTCTTTTCTCTCTCTCAGAAAGCATGGCCAGGGGTTGGGGGCAGCGAAAGTAAAAGGAGTGATTTATGAACTGAGCTTTTCTCCTTAATCAGAGAACCCCCCCGGGGCTCGCTCTGTGCAGATGGGATGGAGGCACCATCTGGGGCAGTGGGCGGGGCGAGATTAATAAAGCTGCCTGGCCCTTGCAGGGGCCTGGAGAGGAGAACCCTGAGGCGCTGCGTGACCTCGCCGGTCTCTGCCCCTCTCTGGGCCTCCCGGCTCCCATCTGTCGAGGGATGGCAGGATCGGGTGACCCCCCCCCCAGGCCTCTAGCTGGCACCAGGGACGATGCGAGCTCACTCCCTGGAACTCTGCCTTTCTGCCCGATTCAGGACGGAGCGGCACTGAGTCGGAGACTTTAGGGACTGACGCATAACACTCACCCCTTCTGGTGTCCTGTCCCTGGTACTGTGTCCACGGACTGGTGTTTTACCAGGAGCTCTGCCTGGGAGACCAGCAAACTCGAGCCTGAACCATGGCCATGTCTCACTAGCCGCGGGAATAAAGTCAGGCCCGCTCCTCACAGTCTTGGAGCCTCAGTTTCCCCATCTGTGAAATGAGGTCGTGCACCCACTCACTAGGTGAGGATTACATAAGAGAACACAGGAGACATTCTTAGCATAGTCTGGTCCACAGTCAATGTTATTATTAGCTTCTTATCCCAAAGCCATAAGGATGAACTTGAATGTGGGGCCATTGCATGGAAAGACGTTTCTCTTCATCCCGAGTCAGCCGTCTGTCCACGCTTCTCTCCCACGCTCACCTCCGTTGATCACTGGTGGATGTGGTTTGAGCATCCACTTATTTTCAGTATGTGATGATGCTGGTGGAAATAGCCGTCCGTGGCAACTGTGCTCTGCAGGCTTCCAAGTGTTTTCATACCGTATCACTTCATTTCATGTGTTTCGCCTCATGAACTGCTGTAACTACCTTTGGCTTCAAAACTGAGCTCCACAGTTTTCAAAGGAGAACCTGCGTCTCCGGGAGGATAGCGACTTGCCGAGGGTCTCAAGGGGCGGGGCCAAGGCAAGTGCCGTCCAGACCCCGCGCAGGTGCGGTGATGGAGTGAGCGCAGGATGACGGGAATGGGAAACGGAATCTCACCCGGCGCCTGCGCCCCAGCAGCCCTCTCCTTCCTCCACACCGCAGCCCAAGCTCCCCCTGGCCTCCGAGTTTTTCTGGAGCTTGTCCTCCAGCCTAGTGTGTGAGTGGGACCCGGCTGGGGATTCCCCAGAAGTGTGGAGGAACAGGACTCTCCACCTGGGCCCATTCGGCTGCTGAAACCAAACCTTCATTCCCACCACTGGGAGCTGTCTCTCCAAAGGGCCCTCCTGGCACATCCTTACGCAAAGCTAAGGAGCTGTTGCCAACACCACATTTCTCCCTCCTTATGTGGAGGCAGGGTTCCTGGGGAGGGAATTCGATGTGAGGGCCCCGCTGGCATCAGGTGACATCCAGGTGTGTGGGCCACCCACGCCCATTGTCTCCTCCCAGTGCGTCAGCCCCACACAGCAAGGAAGCCGTGCCAGAGGCTGCAAGTCCTTTGAAGGCGCGGTTCCCAGCAAGGGCACCCAGAGCTGCCATCTGGGCAGCGGCGGGCGCCCCACGCAGGCCTCCCCCGCAGTGGGCAGCCAGGTGCGGAGGGCTGTTCCTTCGCCCCGATGGACCCAGATTAGCAGGGCACTTGCCCCGAGTTTGTGTCCGCAGGGTGGGTTTTCATAAACAGCTTCATGAACATGGCTGTTCCTTAATGACTTCCTACAGTCATTGAATATTTTCTCTTATAGGACAAGCTGGGCCAATAAAAGAAATACACGGCAGCCCCTCTGACCGGGAGACTCTGTCCTGCTTACGCCCAGAGAACCGCCCAGGTGACGAGTCAGCAGTTGCCTCCCCCCCTCACTGTGCGCCCTCTGGCCGCCCCGACACAGCCGCCTCTCTCCCCCCTGCACCCCGTGCTGTCTGTCTGTCCGTCTGTCTGTTCTTGTGTCACTGCTTGCTGTCTGTCTGTCCGTCTGTCTGTTCTTGTGTCACTGCTTGCTGTCTCTCTTTTTTCCCTGTCTTTTCCCATCTGCCTCTCTCTCTGACTGGCCTTTGTCTGTGTCTCTGATCTGCTGGCCCTCTTTTGTCTTCTATTTGCTCACTTCCCACCATTCATTCATTCATTCATTCGTTCGCTTGTTCAGACGTATTAACTGAGGCCCCACCCTGCCCCGGGCCCTGCTCTAGACACTGGGAACACGGCAGTAAACAGACAGGTCCACGCCTTCTCGAGGCGTGCGTCCTCACAGGGGAGGACGTGTGCTACGTACCGGGTTAAGTGAGGAAGACCTCGAGTCTGTAGAGTCCCCGCAGGCACCGGCCTGGCTTCCAGAAACGAGGCTCCAGTTTCGTTCCGATCCCTCGCTGGCTGGTTCTGTAACTTGGCCAAACCCCCTTGCCTGTCCTCAGCCTCGGTTTCCTCGTCTCCAGAGTGAGGGTGCGAGGCCAGATCGATGCTGCCCTGACTTTCGCTGACCAAGGACTTCGGTCACTGGAGTGCAGATGACACAGGTTACATGAGGACTGGGCTCTGAATCGGCGCCCACTCTAACGGGTGTCAAACCAGGTTCCCCCGTGAAACCCCCTGAAGCTCTTAAACACCGGTTTTGTGATACAAGAAACAGTCGGTTGCGTCTGGGGGGAAACATCCATCCGAAAGCCCAGAAGCCTCGCATGCCCAGGTGCGGGGACACTGTGCCCGGCACAGGAGCCTTGAGACCATGAGGTCCACGGCGCAGGTGCAGGGCTCCCTGCCCTGCCCACCCTGGGCCGATGCCCACGTGGAAGGGCAGCTGGGACACAGCGCTAAACTGCCCTCCTGCGCGCATTCCAGTTGCTCGTAGGGAGTTGAATTCACACAAAGTCAAGTTCGCCTATGCAGCTGACTCCTGTATTTCATCGCTCTGAACCCCAGGATTTAGAGGGTTTTATTACGCAACAGCTCTGCCTCTACTAAGTCACTTGTTAAGTATGTGTTAAAGTTTCTCCTTAGTTTTTGTGCTGCAAAGTGATATATACCTGGAGGCCAGAGCTTCTGAATAACTCGAGAAACAGGGCCCCCACCCTGGGGTGGCTTAGTTGCTCTAAAACCCAAGACACTTGCCTGGCCAGTGGTTCGGGGGTAGTGTCTGAGATACTCGCTATCCTGAAAACAGCTGTAGGATATGCTTTGTCTCCGGGAGCCCAGTTTGAGAACTGCTGCGCTCACATTGTCCCTGCTCAGAAATCCTCGGCCCCAGAGTCCTCACCTCTCCCGACACGGAACTACAGCTAAGGCGTCTGGTCAGCATCTGGAAGGGCAGGTGGAAGAGCCGCTCTGGACTAGGCAGCAGGGAAGAAGGAGGGAACAGAGCCACCACCCGCCAGGCCCGGCGTGAGGAGCTCTATGTGTACCATCGTGCAACCCCCAGTCCACACAATCTGCAGCGGAGGCTGGCGTTCCTGGCCTCACTCCGCAGACACGAAAGCAAAGGCCCAGAGAGGTCATGCAGTTTGTCCTGGGAGGTGGGGGTGCCGGGTCCAGTCTGACTCTGCAGCCCCCGCCCACACTGATACTCTCCCTTCGAGGTCCCTGTGGGCTCCCTGGAATGGGAGGACCTCAGTGGGCCTTCCGCCCCTGGTCCCAGGGAGGGTGTGCCATCCTGTGTCGCAGAGAGGCCCCTAGTCTCCTTCGTAAGTGCCTTTTGGACATCTTTTTTTGAGAAAAAACTAAGTCCTTGAACTTCATGGTCTCAGATGTCTTCTCAGCCTGCCTTCCAGAGGCTGCCCATGTCCCCACTCTCTCAAGAGGTAAATGAGGGAACTGTGTGGCGATGCTAACTTCCAAAAGGCTCTGTGGGTGGGTGGGGCTAAGAGCCAGATCCAAGTAGGGATTGGAGAGTCCATGTGTCTGTCACTCTTATCTAGCTGTAGAGGTGTCCCTATGACCAGACACCTGTTGTGGGGCATGCAGCAGGCAGGCATTGGTCTTTTGACCATCCCGGCCGTAGAGAGTGGCCCAGGAGGCCCTTTCCCCTGGGCAGTGGGAAATAAATTGGTATAGGAGGTGGGAAGACAGGCCTGAATTTTGGACAGCAGCTGAATGGGGCAAGGAATTAGCATTCACTGAAAATGGGGAGTTAGAATCATAGCTCCAGGATAAGACAGACCTGGGTTCAAATGCCGCCTTAGGCATTTCCCTGCTGTGTGGCCCCAGATAAGTGGTTCCACCCCTCTGAGCCTCGTTTCTCTCACCCGAAAAACGACATCACCTGTATCTTGGAGCTCAATGACGAAGGAGATAGTACACGTTTCTTGGCCCATAGTAGGAACTCGGGGCATGCCAGCTGTCACTCCCTGTTGCTCTTATTAGCTACCACGTGCCAAGCCCTGCACTCAATATTTTCCACACATTGTCTGGAAGGTGTTATTGTTACACTAATTTTAAAGACAAGGAAACTCAGGTGCATGCAGCTGCCCCAGGCCGGCCGCCGAGCCTGCCAGGTCTGGGATGTGATCCGCCGTCAGGCACAAAGCCCGCTTTCTATCGTGTCCCCGGCCCTGGAGCTGGGACCCCAGTCCCCGTCTGCACCCACCCTCCAGCTCACACCCTCTGTTTTCCGCCTGCCTCACTTCTGCGGTTGTCAGAGGCTCCTCCCAGGAGACACGTCTCCTTTGACTGCGCTTGCCCGGGAGTCCAGCGCTCCACAGGCCTCCCCTTCAGTGTGGTCTCCGATGAATGTGGGACACGGTAAACAGAGGGAGCCCGTCTGTGAGCTGGCACATTCATTATGTCCCTCAACTGCTAAACTGCTAGAGCCGACCGAACACTGGACGCTACTTTGGGGAGGAGGTTTGCCTGCATGGGCAGAGTGGTTGGGGGGGCTCCAGAGCCCGGCCCCTGCAGACTGCTCAGCGTCTCACCAGGGCCGAGGCTGCCCCCAGAGAGAGGCCTGCCCATGGCTGAGCCTGATGAAGGAAGAGCCTGGGCTTGGGGATGGGGGTCAAGTTGTTTAACGCCTGATGGGCACTAGCATGGGCCACGCAGAAGTGATGCCGGCCAGACAGCAGGCCAGCTGTCCCCCTGGGTCCCCGCTGGACCTCCGCCCTCCCGCTGGCTGCCAGGAGGACGGGGCCTGGAACAGGGTTAGGGCAGGTGCTCCTGGCCCCAGCCATCTCCTCCCCAGGGCTGTCACGAAGGAAGAGTGAAAACATGGAATATTGAACATGAACGTGTCTTGCGCACCTTGAGGTCTGACTCATCATAGCAGATGCTCTCTGCTTCTCCCAGGGCTGGAGAGGGGCTGCGTCTCATCGGCTCCACGCCCCAGCGCCTGGCTTCCAGTGGATGCACAATAAATGCCAGCTGAATGGAGTCGTGCTCAGCGACGCGCCGGGCTCCGGAGGGAGGCGGCATGCTGGTGCTGGGGGCAGTCAGGGCAGGGCGGGACTGGCCCCGGAGCAGGACTTGGGCCCCCAGCCGGGAGCCCTCGCCTCTTTTCCCTGCAACACCCCTCCTCACTGGGCATCCCCGCGGGCTAGAGGCAATGCATGGCACTGAGAAGTGTGTCAGGCTTGGGTCCCATCCTGATTCGTGACCTTGGTGAGTCTCCCCAGGAGTCTCAGCCACTGTCTGCCAAACGGAAGGCCCGCCTCAGCCGTCAAGTCAACCAAGTAGCTTCGTTGAGGCCCTGCCACCCACCGGGTGTCGTACCGCGCATCTTACCACCTCATTTCCATCATCCTCACAACGCTGCTTGGGAGGGAGGGTCTGGTTTTAATTTCCATGTTCAAGTTAGAACAAGATTCAGAGAGGTAGAGTGATTTGCCCAAGGCCACACAGCACATGAATGGTAGATAGGAGCTCATACTCAGGCATGCTGGTTCCCGAGTTCTCACTCCTAACTCGGGCTCCACAGGGCAAAGTGCCTTCCCCAGGAGAGGGAGTTGTTATCAGCTTCCCTCTTCCCCCTCACACCACGAGGGCAGGCTGGGACCCCGCCCCCCACCGTGGAGGAGACAGGGCGGTGGGGTTCTTTCTGGGCAGGGCCCCCCAGTGCGAGGACTGAGGAGCCTTGCTGTGTTGCAGGTGGAGCATCATGGAAGGTGACTGTCTGAGCTGCATGAAGTATCTGATGTTTGTTTTCAATTTCTTCATATTTGTGAGTATTCCTGGAACCCCCCCCGCGGGTTCCCCCAGCCTCTGTCGAGTGGGCGGAGCTGGCTGCTGCTTGGAAATAGTCACAAGGGGCTGCGTCCCCAGGGTGGGAACAGGGACCAGTGCAAGAAGCAGATCTACCAGCCCAGCCAGGGTTTTGTGGGTGGGGGGCCCCCAGCAGTGCCCGCCCTGCTCCAAGGACCCACCGTCCTAGGGGAGACATTTCATACGGATCCGGGACGGTCCAGCTCCTCTGACAAAGGGTGGGGGCCTCAGTCCCAGCCACTGACGTAGGGTCTGACCCCCGGTAGGGACTGGGGGATGGAGGAGACAGGGTTGCCAGAGGGCAGCAGCGGGCGCCCCACCTAGCCCCGACCCCCAGAGCATCACAGACAGCAGTTCTCTGGGGGAACCTGAGGCAATGAGAAACCTCTCTGGGACTAGCAGACCTGGGTTCGAAGCCAAGCTTTGCATCTTACCAGCTGTGTGATCTGAGACACACTTCACCTCTCCGAACCTCGGTGTCTTCCTCCCTCCATCGCATACCTCAACAGGTGTTTTTGGTCTGTTTTTTTAGTGGAGCAAGATTAGGAAGTGCCTGCAACCTACCAGCACTCGGTAGCGGAGCTCCACCCCCACCCAACCTATGGGTTCCCTCCCTGAGGGACAGAGCCCCGAGTGCTCAGGGGGCCAGCCCGGTGTGCCGCCGCACAGCCCACCCGCTGGCAGCCCACCGAGGACCAGAGCAGTGGCCTTTCATAGGAGAGAGCCACACTCCTGGCATCTTGAGTCCCTAAAGGCTTTCCTCACCCCACCTGGACTTTTGACCTCAGTGCAGCCAAGACCTGGATGAATAAACGTCCACTAAGGTCCTCCAGGATAGGGTCACTGTGAAGAAGAGGCCCCTCTCTGGCCGGAACTGACTCTGTCTCCCTCTGTGTTCTACGCGTCTCAGCAGCTGTCCTGGATCCCCTCCCTGGGCCCATAATTCTGAAGAGCAGGGAGCCCGACAGACTTGAACTCTAGACCCAACTTACAAGCTGGTGACCTCAGGCAAACCCCAGTGTCCCCACCTGAGACGGGGCAGGGCCGCCTGGGCAGCTCAGTCCGTGCGCAAACCCCCCCTGCAGCACCCTCAGCGCCCAGTGGTGAACCCCCAAAACCTCCGATGGGCACAGGGCGGGGCGCAGGCTCCACGGGAGGTTGTGAAGGACACCAGCGACAGCGGGCAAAACTGTAGCCTCTGTCACTGACCGTCTCTGTCGGTTTTCCCTTTCTCCCCCACGGCTGGGTCCCTCGGCCTCTCTGCCCCACCCCTGCCCCAGCTGTGCCTAAAATACGATCTTTTGCCCCAAACCACGCAGCTCTTCCCCGCAGCTTCCAGTCCCCTCTCAGCCAAGCCAGAGCTCAGCAGTTTGCTCTCAGCCGCCATCTGCTGTTCCTCCCGCCACCCTGGGATCCCACACACTTTACAGCTGTCAAAGCCCAGTGATGCCAAGCTGGCTCACCCGCAGCGGGTCCGCTTCCAGCGCTGGTCTGTGCCCAGGCCACATGGGAGAGCTATTTATTGAAACCTGCTCAGTGCATTCACACCCTTCCTGTCCTTTCTTCCTCGGGGCCACCTCGGGAGGTGGGGATTTGGATTTTTTTTTTACCACAAGAAAGCTAAAAGGTTCAGAGAGGTTAAGCCACTTACCCAAGGCCACACAGCTGATAAGTACCACAGCCCTTCCTCTGGCCTGCACTGCCACTCTCCAGGATGAGTAAGGCACGGGAGGTGGGCCATGCAGGTGGGGACAGAAACACAGAGACTTTCGAGGAGCAGATCTGAGAGTGGGGCGCCCAACCTGACTGAGAGCTCCTGCTGGGGACCGAGGGGATGGCTTGTCTGCTGTCCTGTCCCTGACAGGGCGCCAGCACAGTGTCGGGGTGGGTGCCTGTCACAGAGCTCCGGGCATGTCCTTGGAGCTGGAGTCAGGGGGGCCAGGGATTCAGCCCAGGCGGGTCCTGCCCCAAAATTGCCATGTGGCCTTCGGCAGGTCGTTGGCCCCCTCTGGGGCTCAGGGTGGCATCTGAGGGTTGGACTAGGTGACCTCGTGATCCTGCAGCTCTGACACATAAGGAGAATCTAAACGTGGCCAATAAACTCCACGCGATATGGTTCCCCATGGGCTGAGGGGGTCCTGGGTCAGAGGCTGGGTTCAGAGGATGCGAGCTGCTCTTTTTTTTTTTTAAAGCAAGTTTGTTTATTTTTTATTCCTGAAAGTGTTTTGTAGTGTGTGATTCCATTATATTTTCTTTTTTTTAAAGATTTTATTTATTTATTTTTAGAGAGGGAAAGGGGAGGGAGAGAGAGAGAGAGAGAGGGAGAGAAACATCAATGTGCGGTTGCTGGGAGTTATGTCCTGCAACCCAGGCATGTACCCTGGCTGGGAATCGAACCTGCGACACTTTGGTTCACAGCCCGCACTCAATCCACTGAGCTATGCCAGCCAGGGTGCGAGCTGCTCTTAAGGTCAGTGCGTAGGAGGACTCGCAACAATGACCGGTGGTGCGGGGACACAGGCTCCTGCAGCACACGGAGTCCCCTCCGACTCGCCAGGCTCCCCGCCTCTGCTGGGGCCTCGTGCAGGGTGTGCGCGTGTGGAGGGTCTAACGTCTCACCTCCGTGTCTGCCTGTTTCCTCTCCTCCCTGCTGCCTGCGCCGGCGAACAGCTCGGGGGGGCCTGTCTGCTGGGCCTCGGCATCTGGGTCATGGTGGACCCCACGGGCTTCCGAGAGATCGTGGCTGCCAACCCCTTGCTCATCACGGGCGCCTACATCCTCCTGGCCATGGGGGGCCTGCTCTTTCTGCTCGGCTTCCTGGGCTGCTGCGGGGCCATCCGGGAGAACAAGTGTCTGCTGCTGTTTGTGAGTACTGCCTTCCCCCACCCCTCCCGTGGGCGCCCCGTGGCAGGAGGGGGAGGCCCAGGGCCCACACTGGGGGGAGTCACACCGAGGTCTGAGCCCAGGCGGGAGGGCCGCCTACCTTTCCCATGTGTACTCGCAGTCCCAGCTTCCGGAGCATTCTCTCTAGGCTGGGCCCACGCCTGCCGCCTGGGCAAGCTGCCGCCAGGTGGGGAATGGCCTGGCCTCTGGGTCTGAACAGCCGGGCTTCTCCAGGGCACGGTCAGCCGAGAACGGTGACCCTGATGCCGTTCTACTTGCTTGCTTTTAAGAACTCAGATCTATAATTCCTGGTGAAAGAGCTAAGATAGCTATTGGCTAAATCATTCACCTTTTGCTTTTCCAGTTCTAAAACAGAACTGATACGACTCTGAAGGCCCTTTATCCATTAAACGAGTGGTCCTTGAACAGCTACCGCGGGCCCCGTAGTTCACTGGGTGCTGAAGATGCATCAGGGGCCAGGAGTGGCTGTCCCCTCCCGGGCAGGGGACAGGCAGGTCTGGTGTGAGCGTGTGCCCCGTTCTGTCCCCTGACTAAGGATATGACTCCCATCCAGTGTCTTAACTTCTCTGAGCCTCCGTGTCTTTGATCGTTAAGCAGGGAGCCGACCAGCTCAGTGGGAGGTGGGAGCAAGCGGGACAAGGGGTAGATGTCCCGTTTCTCTGGTCTGTTGTATTTCCCGTGAGCGGTGGTCCTTTGGGCTTCTGCTGACCCTCCTGGCCTGAATGGGTCTTCTTCCCCTGCGGGGTCCTGTGGGCCCCCAGGGCCAGGAGAACTTGTGCACTGAGCCCAGACCTGCTGTGGGTTAAGTTAAAAACAGCCCTGCAGAGAGACGTGTGCTTGTGGACGGGTGAGCGGGTGGGCGGGGAGTTAAGCAACAGGAAGGGCTGGGCTGGTCACCGGGAGGACTTGCCTACAAGGCTTCAGTCTGCTTAGGCAGAGGACGGCACAGTGCCTCCTCCCGAGATTAGAGCACACCGGATGGCCCCGGATCGTGTCACAGTGAGGTGCCCCACACCACAGAGAGAAACGAAGTCAGCCATGAAACGTGCAACGCCCAGCCTTGGGTCTTGTGGGCCCTGCGCAGCACGTACGCTGCAAACTTTTCACTGGGAAACAAAGAAACATGTGGGCGCCCCCTGGTGGAAAGCTCTCTGCCGTGTCAGATGGTGCAGGGGAAGAAGTCTGGGCTTGGAGAGCCCCAGGGGACTTGAAAAGCGGAGGGGTATGGGTTCTCAGGACACACTGAACCTCTCTCCCCACCCGGAGCCCCCCCACCCGGAGCTCCCCACACCTCAGCCCCCAGGGCTCATCCATTGTTAATGGGCCCATCTCTGAAGCCAAGACAGGAAGCCAGGCTGGAGTCTGGGCTGCGGAGGCTGCGAGCTAAGTGGCTCCCTCTGAGCCTGCCAGCTGGACGGGGACATCGCTCTCCTCGGTGCTTAGGAGGACACCGGGGCCCGGGAGGAGGCATGCACCCCGAGTCCCCAGAGAGAGAGTCAAGTCCTTCAAGTAGCCCTTTCCCACCCTTTGCTGCCTTCCCCCCCGCCTTTTTTCTCCATGCAGGCTCAACTCTCCGTTGCTCCCTTCCTTTGCTGGCTCCTTCTCTGCCTCTGTCTCACTGCCTCCCTGTCTCCGCCCTTCTCCGGCCTCTGGGTCTCTGTTCCTGCTGAAGGCTCCTTGCCTCTCTGTGCCGTCTTCCTGCCTCTTTCTCTTCACTTCCCTCGTGTTTCCTTCCTTCCCCTCCTCACTCCCTCTCCCCCCTCCCCTTCCCTTTCTCATACCCAGCACAGACAAGCTGGAGGTCACAGTGCAGGTCAAAGGCAGACGACCTGCACTGTGACCCTGCCCTCCCTCAGACCAGGGCTGGGCCAGGGGCTCCTGCCCTGGCATGGGCTCAAGTGGTCCAAAACTCACATGAAATTATGTGTGAGATATTACGTCAGGGCCTGCGTGTGCATGGCTACACGTGTGGGCTCTGCAGGTATGTGTGTATATTGTGTGCACATGCATGTTTCTGGGGAGAGACACCACAGCTTCCAGAAGGTTTTCAAGAAGACTCATGACCTAAAAAATAAGAACCACCTCCTCTTCTAACCTGGACCTGGCCGTGTGGGGGTTCCAGTGGCAGAGGGGCACCGTGTCTCCCCCACCCCATAGATGCTGGGGTCCTCAGGGAAGCCTGAGACCCCTTCCCCAGCCCACCGGGAGGGAGGGAAGACTTGTCCTAGAGGAGCCAAGAGGGAGCACCCCAGCCTCCTCAGGAAGCCCGGCTCGAAGGCCTGCAGGAGAAGGGGGCCCTGGGGTGGAGGCTAACTGAGTCACCCCCCCACCCCGCCCCGCTCCGAGGCTGACACCCACAGGGTCCTGGCGACACTTGTCCCAGGGACAATGAGCCAAATGACCACATCACCTAAGAATCCATTTTTTTGAAGACACATTTTTCAAACACTCCTGTCGATCGATGTTACAGCATTTTCACCTACAGTGGGGCGATTCCAGCCTGTGGCCGACACTCTGTGGCAACCCTCGTTTCTGGCTGCTCACCTCTGAGTGGTTCAAGGGATTCTTTTGGCTCAGTTATTTGACTCAAGTTTTTAGAAAACATAAAAAGGCATGCAAAATTGGAAATGAGAACAGCAAACAGAGAGGAGAATATTTAAAAGAGATCAGCGAGCTGGATGGCACACGAAATATGTAAATTTGGTAAATATTTATTAGCAATGAGGGCTGGAAGCAGATGTGCCTGCAGGCAGATGGGTTCGAGGAGTCTGCACATGCTCCCCGGTAGGCAAAATAGCAGTTGCCGCCCCTTTGTTCATTCTCCCATCCTGTGCAAAGCGTTGTGAATCTGATGCTCAGGAATTACTGGCAAATGTGCCCATGGGCAGATGGACTGAGGTTAGAGGAACCCAAGGCACACAAACCCTGGGAAAGGCCCCGACTAGGGGAAGTCTCAGGGAGTCTCCGGACGAGCCCTGTGCTGGGCCGGGGGCAGCCCATCTGAATGACCAGGGGTCACCCTGTGAAGCAACAGGAAGTGATTCCAGGCTGGAGAAGGCGAGCGGGCAGAGGCAGCATTGCTGTGATGTGGGAACCGCAGCCTGGCACTGCCTTTGGTGACTCATGCTCACACACACTTGAGTGCCCCCTTGGTCCCTGTGCTCGGGGAAACCCAGCTCTGGGTGGGAGCAATGGCAAGGTGGTTTGCAGACCCCCTTTGTCTGGGGAGCCCCACTTTCCCTGCCGACCAGTTACCAGGTTCATTGTTTAATTTCATCTCATGAGTTTCACTTCTTGAATCCCGGCACCACGCTCAATGTACACTTCGCACGGAGGGGGACTAGATCTGCCCCGTGTATGTGTGTGTGTGTGTGTGTGTGTGTGTGTGTGTGTGTGTGTGTGCCAGCGCCTGGCACACAGCAGGGGCTCCGGGACTGGCCCTGGGATGAAGGGACGGAGAGAAGGCTGTGTCGGAGAGGTGGGTAACAGCGTGGCCTCTGGAGTAAGGAAGCCTGGCTCTGATCCGTGCGCTGCCACTTCCTGGCTGTGTGACCTGGGGCTGGTTGCTTAACCTCTCTGAACCTCAGACTCCTTCTACATAAAAAGAAGGTAATGACACCTCCTTCCCATACCTTGCTTTGCCCTGTTCCTGGCACTTGCGAACACTTGATAAAAGGGAAGCTAGAGGGCCGGGGGTTGATCCAGGAGAGGCCCTGCAGGCCACTGGAAAGTCGTAAGACCAGAGGCTCTCATGGGTTTCAGGACAACTTGGTGTTAAAAGAACACCAAGTTCCCATGTTCTGGGATCCGAGTTCCCATGTTTCTCCCAGGTGCACCGCCTACCTGCCGTGTCCTGCTACCTCTCTCAGGGTCCCAATTTTCGCATCATTAAACAGGGATGTTGATGATAGCAGCTTCGGCATCTCCGGGCAGCCAAGACGGTTTGATGAAGTGGCCCATGTGAGAGCCACAGTGCCGGGGCGGTAAGCACCCAGCAGACGGCAGCACTTGGCTTCAGGAAGGCCACGCTTCCTCCTGGTTCGGAGCCACCCCCCGAGCGGCTCCTGCCTCGCACCAGCCCTGCGCCCGCCTGGGATTCCGCCTGCATTGGCTCCCTGTGGCTGTGCTGAGTCACCCTGCGTGGCGCGCACGCCCCCAGGGCGATGAGCGCGCAGAGTGCACAAGGCTGGAGCTCGGTCTCATCCATAGTTTATAACCGTCTAAGCCAAGTCGATCGATAGTGAGAGCCAGCTGAATCACGTCACCGAGGACGGAGACCATTTCTGAGGCCGCTCTCTGCCAGCCCGAGGGCTGCCAGCCACTCCACCAAGAGGGCACAGGGTGGGGGGCGGGCTCCTGCAGAAACAACCCGATGACCATCCATCACCAGCCAAATGGAAGTGCCAGGAGCCCTGCCAGGGGCCTCCATCACTGTTGGGACAGAGAGGCCACAGCAGCCGAGAGCACTCGCTCAGCCCCAGGGCCAGCCCGTGCGTGGGGGAGGGGCTGCAGGGGTCAGGGAATGGACTGCAGGCGTACGGCTGGGGCCCAGGAGGCACTCTGTCACAGTCCCCTCTGGCTGGGGAACTCTGTCCAACCCCGGGCTCAGCCCAAGGTCACCCTGCACAGCTGAGCCCAGCAAGGCTGACCTGCCGGAAGCAGACTCCTCATGAAAATTCAGCAGAGCTGCTGCCATGTTGGTTCTGAAGCACGCTCCTCGGGGAGAGACGAGGCCGCACGGCACTCTGCGCGGGGCTGGGGGAAGATGGAAGGCCTGGCTCTGGAGTTTCGGAGCTGCCCGCCTTCGGAGCAGTCCTTTCCTCCCCCGGGCTGGGGACCAGGGCCGGGCTCCAGGGCTGAAGAGGCCTCTTGGAGGCCAGAGCCCGTGCTGCAGCAGCTTAAACCTGGCGGGACTCCTGTGGCCAAAGACGACAGTCTGGGACCGGGAGTGACAGATCCACGCCTCATGCTGGCCGCCGACCTGGTTTAAGCCAGGGTGGTTCTTGAGTTTGGACGTTTAAAGGAAACAAAACCAAACCCTCTGGCAGGTCTAGGAGATGTGTTCCCGTCCACGTCCGCGGTGGGTCATGTTGAAACCCATTCCGATGGTCTCCCCAAAGGTGTTCTGAAGCCTGAGCAATTTGGGGGGACCCCAGGCGGACCTCTGCGGGGGCAGTGCTGTTCATGCTGAAAAGTCGGGGAGGGAACATGACGGGGGCCTTTCTGAGGTGAGGGAAAAGTGACAGAAGCTTTCTTCTGACCAGAAGAAACAGGGTGCAGGAGAGACACCGAGGGTGTCGTCAGCCAAGTGTCACTGGAGTGGGGCGCTGGGGGCTCACGGGGCACCCCTGGCACCTGAGCTGGCTTCCGCGCTCCATCTAGTCTTGTTAGAGCCTCGACGACCAGCTTAGCTTAGCCTCTCTTGTGACACGCAGGACACTGTCACACCCATTACTTCATTATTCCCCATGGGGCCCCAGAAGTGGCTGTTACATCCTCATTTTACTGACAAGGAAACTGAGATGAGACAGGGTTTTAGTGATTGTCCCAAGTCACACAAAGCAAGGCAAGGTGGGCAGGGGTGTGCTGGCACTGAGCCCAGGACCCTTTGCTGCCTTCTGGGCTGGGCACATCCAGTGTGGCCTGGTGGCTCTGGGGACCGTGACCCAAGGGAGCAGGTCTCGGGCAGCTGGCCAAGGCGGCTGGGAGGGCAGGTATGTGGGAACCCGTCTGCGTGCACTGGGGGTTCGGTCCTCTGCTGGCAGTCTCGGGTGGGGCGACAGCTCTGAGGCTGTCTCAGACTGTTCGTGCCAAAGGCACCAGCCGTGCTAAGTAACGAAGGCATAGCCATGTCTTCTGTCCTCTGCCACCAGCTCTCATGCCAATCGATGCCCGTGACAAAGCGGGCCTGAGATGCAGCGGACAGCGAGGCCGTGACAGCGTGTCGGTCACCGCTGGCTCCATTCCCTCGTCTGACAGCCGCGAGCCGATCGATGTGGGTGCCATGCATGGGTGGGGAGAGGCTGGCTGAATTACGGCCTCCGTGCTTACGTTGGGGACCCTGCGGGGACCCGGCTGCCACGATGAGGACATCTCTGTGGGGCACTGTGATGGGGGGTGGGGGGCAGGGAGCCAGGAAAGGCTTCTCAACAGAAGAGCGTCTGGGACTAATCCTGCCAGTGGGAGAGGAAGAGAGTGGCCTTCCCGGCAGAGGAGGCCCCGGAGACCAGGGTCATCGTGGGGGACTCAGGGAGCATCTGGAAATGCAGTTGTGGGAGCAGAGGGGCTGTGTTCGATGTCAGACTCCCGGTCCCTGCGTTTCCACGTGTTGATGGACATGCCACCTTCCCTCCGATCTTGCTCCATTACTGTGGCTGAGGATCAATATCGCCCTCCCACCTCCCGCAGGGAGCAGAGGCTGCAGCAGGGATAGGGGGCGGAGCCAGGACTCCCACAGCTCGGACCAGCCATCTCCTCCAGGCCTGCCGGGCCGGATTGTCCACATGAGGCCTCGGCTGAGGGGTGCCGTGTGCACCGAAGGCTTGTTTTGTCTGTTTACTGTTCCCATGTTTGTTACAACCTTGTTGGCCCCCAAGACAGATGGCTGGTGTGCTCATTATGAAAAGTGCCTGGTTTGCGGCAGCGAAGTCCCTTGGTTTTACAGAATCGGCAGGTTGCACCAACTGGGTAACAGACAGAAGGGGGCTCCCGTGAGCGGCGCACCCCCCCACTGCCCGCCCCCCGCCCCCGGGACTCAGAGCCCACCCACTCTCTTCGCAGTTCTTCCTGTTCATCCTGATCATCTTCTTGGCGGAGCTCTCGGCGGCCATCCTGGCCTTCCTCTTCAGGGAGAACGTAGGTACTGGGCCCCGTGCACACTGGTTCCCTGCCCCCTGCATGGGGTCGGTGGCCACTGTGCCGGCCAGTCCCACCCTCAATGGGTCTCATCCAGCACTTTCAGCCCAAACTGTGACCCTGCGAGCCTCTCTTTTTCATAAGGGCTTTTCTAGAAGGTTAGGGTCAGGGTCTCAATCCTCCAACATCTAGTGCCGTCACACACCTGATTCTGGAACCTTCTGTTCCTCGTCTCGCCAGGTGAGGGCACAACACTAGTCACTGGACAGTCTGAGGGCAGTCAGGGAGGCTGTCCCTTGGGCCCTGGAATGTGTGACGAGCAGCTGAGGCCCTGGCCCGTACCCAGCATGGACCACTTCTCCCCACAAGCCATCTTATTTCAGGGGCTCCAGCCCCCTGGGCTGCCGAGCTCCCTCCTGAGACTGGGGGAGCCAGGCACCAGCCAAAGGGGCCTGGGAATGAGGAGGGGTGGGGGGAGGGGGCCAGAGACACAAGCCGGCCCTGGCTGGTGCGCAGGTAAAAACTAGATGTGCACCTGCCCCATACCGAGGCTTCTCCAGGGCCTGGGGCCCGGGGCAGCAGCCTCGCTCTGTCTGAGGCACAGCTCGGGGTGGACGGGGCGGTGGGAGGGCGAGCCCCTGCCTGTGTCAGCCCTCTGCCTGAGAAGAGCTGCCCATGCAAGGTTCTCAGCATGCCCTGGCCTTGGGGTCACCCGTGGGTGTGTGTGGACTTTTCACAGGAGTGACCCCAGGATGGGGGCAGGCCACAGCCTCTGGGGTGGGGCGAAGGGACCCGCCCCAAGCTTAGGAGAATGCCCAGAGCCTGGAACTGGGGCCCTGAGGCCTCCCATCCCTCCCCCCAAAGCTGACAGGTGGAGAGGCCAGGGAGGGGCGGGGGCAGCACCAGGCTGCCGGGTGGGGGTCTCAGCCCCCTTCTCCCTCTGCCCCCAGCTCACCCGTGAATTCTTCACCAAGGAGCTCACCAAGCATTATCAGGGCAACAACGACACAGACGTCTTCTCCGCCACCTGGAACTCGGTCATGATCACAGTGAGTGACGGCCCCCTGTACACCCAGGATGCTGTGGGCTTTCAGAGCCATGATGCCCCGGGTGGCAGATGTCTGGCCCCCAGAGCCCCCTCGGTTCACGTGCCCGGGATCAACCAGGGCGCTGGCCCCCAAGCCCAGACCCGCCTGGGAGTCACACACACACTGCCCCTCAGTCACAGTCCGTGCTCCTGATGAAATCTGTGTGCCTCCCCTGGCTTGAATCCTCGGGCGGCTGTCATCATCAACGATAGTAATCAGGGCGACTGTTGACTGAGCACCAAGTGCCTGGAAAGGCAGGAATTGTTACCACCTGCCCCCCTTGGACAGATGAGGGTGCTGGAAGCTCAGAGAAGCTGAGTGACTTGCCCAAGGTCACACAGGTGGAGCGGGGTGGGAGGGGGGAGCCAGCCCACACCCGGGTCTGAGCTCCATCCCACCACACTTCCTCCCTGTGACCTCTGTCCCGTGTGTGCCCACCTCTGTCCCGCAAGGCCAGCTCGAGCCCACCGGACTCTCCCCTTTGTTCTCCTCCTAGTTTGGTTGCTGTGGGGTCAACGGGCCCGAGGACTTCAAGTTTGCATCGGTGTTCCGACTCCTGACCCTGGACGGTGACGAGGTGCCCGAGGCCTGCTGCCGGAGGGAGCCCCAGACGCGGGCCGGGGTCCTGCTGAGCCGGGAGGACTGCATCCTGGGCAGGGACCTGTTCCTCAACAAGCAGGTACCGGCCCTGTTGCCCCAGGCAGGGGCACGTGGGGGGGGGCAGAGCGGGGCGGGGGTGGCAGCCTTGTCCCGGAGGGGCTGGTGGCCCTCTGGGACCCCATGGGACTGTTGGCCAGGATGTGGGACTGAATAGAGGCCAATGAAGCTCCAGCCAGGCCCCTGAGAGCCGACCCAAGGGGGAAAGGGCGAAGGTGGCAGATGGCTCGGAGATGGCCCAGGCCCGAGGAGTGGGAGTCTCGCTGGGGTTGAAGGGTGAGCAGGAGTTTTCCAGTGGTCCAAGCAGAACATAGGTTGGGAGCCAGCACTAGAACCACACAGTGGGGGACCCCCCTCTGTTTTGGAGGGCAGCTCACATTTGCCATGTGGAGGCACCTCCGGGCCCCAAGGGTACAAGGTCAGGGAAGCTCCTAGACTTTCTGCCCCTCTTGCCACCCTAGGACTTCACCTCAGTTCCAGAAGAATCCCTCTCCCTTCCTGTGGGACACGAGGCCCCCCAGTGACCAGCCCCCCCACCCCTCAGCGTGTGGGGGAGACCCGGGGGGAGTGGGCAGACTGAGGGCGGACTGAGCCCATTTCCCATGCCTCTCACTGGATTAGACCTTCAATGGGAGTCTCATGGGAGAGTCCCAGATGCAAGGGACCCCGCCGTGGGCAGGAGAGAGGCCCCGTCCCCGCGGGGCTCCTGGTGTAGTTAGAGGACGCAGGCAGTAAGCAGCGAACGAGCCAAAAGTGACCATTTCACGCGGCAACGATTACCGTGAAGGACGTAAAACCAGACACCAGCCCAGGAGGGACGGGGGTCGAGGGCTCGAGGCAGGCCTCCTGGAGCCCCACGGGAGAGCACGGTGGAGCTGTGGCCTGGTGCCGGCCGTCCGGGGAGTCTCTTTGCAGCCTCAGCTTTGCCTCACAGACTCAGCCCTGCCATCCCTTGCACCTGCCCGTATCGAGGGCACAAGGCCCCCAGAGCCAAGTTCAGTTTCTCTGCCCCACGCAGACCTGCCCCCTGCACAGAACGGGAGAGACAGTGAGAAAGAGACCAGGGCCCAGGGGATCAGGTCGCTGAGGAATTGGGGAGGGTAGGCCACCCCTTTGGGGTTGGGTGTCTGCTGTGAGGAGAGGCTGCAGGACATGGAGGCGATTCCAGGCTGTGAAGTCAGCCTGGCCTGGGCTGTGAACTGCTGTGTCACCCTGGCCAGGACACACTCTCTGGACCACAGATCCCCTGTACAGTGGCAGGGACTGCTGGTTGTCCCCATATTCCATTCACCCCTTTTTCTTTGGAAAGAGGGGCCTTATAGGGCCCATGACCACCAGGCAAAAGCTGCCCTTCCCCGCCTCCCTTGCAGCTAGGCCACGTGACCAAGTCCTGGCCAAAGAGAGGTAAGCAGAGGTAATTTGGGGGACTGAGGCACAGCCTTAAGACAAAGCACTGTGCCCACCTCTCTGCCTTTCCCCGTGGCTGGAATGCAGCTTTGGTGACAGCCACCTCTGACCTTGCAGAGGAGGGTGGCCCGCTAGGTTGTCAGAGTATCCGGAGAGGAGACAAGGCCACTGACAACTCCCCGGACCAGAGCTGCCACCACAGCTCAGGATTCAATGTGAAAGACGAACTTCTGAGTTGTGCAGGGAGCTGCTCTTGGGGATGTCCGGTGCGCACGGCCACACCTGTGTCCTCAGGCCCCTTGTGGATTGTTATGGGAGGCTTTTCCTGGGCCCTGGTCCTTCGGGGCTTCATCCTGACACGCTTCCCATTTCTGATTCAGACTCTGTAACAATGCCTCCTTCCGTTTCTCGGGCGTGGCTGCTGTGCTGGAAGCTCACCAGAGGGCCCCTGTGCAGCCATTTAGTTCTTCGGGATGGCTCTTCCTCTGTTCCTTGGGAGGATTCCCAAGACTGACTTCTGGGGTTCTGTTTCTGAGATGCTCACATCCCTCTGAGCATTCTCCCCTTTTAAAAGCCTCTGCCAAGGGATTAGCTGTTTGTTTTTTCTCCAAAACCCACTTCCCTAAAGCTCAGGATGCATTTCTGACTTGGCCTGATATTTCAGCATAGTCTTATTATAGTCCCATCATAGGCCAGCAACATGTTTGATTGGAAGTCACTGAAATCCCAACAAAAGGGGCTTAAGCAAATACCTTTGTGCTTTACACACGGCAAGGATTCTAGAAGATGGTGGCTTCTCACATTGTATCAGTGGCTCTGTCATGTCAGTCAAGGCCCTGTCATGCCAGCCAAGGCTTTGTCATGTCAGTCCAGGCCTAGTGTCTGTGATCTTTGTGGTCTTTCCTTGTGTTACCACCTCTTGATGGTAAAATGGCTGCCATGGCTCCGGACATCTCACCCACGTTCAAGGTGGGAACAGGGGAAAGGGTGATACCAGCTTCTTTCCCAGAAACCTCCAGGTTTCTGGGAAAGAAGGGCAGCAGGCAGCCCTGCTCCGTGCCGGCCACGCTGCCTGCGCTCGGGGCCTTGTGCCCGCTCCCTGGCCTCACACCCCGGCCCCCTGACCCCAGACTTCCCCTTGGTCTGTGGTTCACCTCGTCCTTCCCCCCAGGGCTGTTACACGGTGATCCTCAACGCCTTCGAAACATACGTCTACCTTGCCGGAGCCCTCGCCATAGGGGTGCTGGCCATCGAGGTGAGTGAAGGCCCTACTTCTGGGGCTCCTCAGAAGCGGGGCACACCGGGGTCTGGGGCGGCCTCCCCATGGCCTGCAACCCCTGGCTCACCTCGGTGTGTCCACGTCCTTAACTCAGGACCCGTGGGTCCCCCACTGGGGACACTCTGGGGCAGCAAGCCCGGCCGAGTCTGTCTGCTCGGGTCACCGGGCCCTGGACTTGTGTGAGCAAGTCTCACACCGGTGAGAACAGGTGGGCCCTGACAGCCACTCCCCTGTCTTCCTCCCACTGCCACCTCCACTCCTGTCCCACCCCACCCCCCATTTCCCCTGTACCCCACGCCCCCCGAGGTCTACAGCGCACTCTTGCATGAAGGGCCAGCACGGCTGCCTTGAGGGAGGGTGGCCACCTGTGCCCTTTCCCTCTGGGTGTGTTCGAGGGCCTGGGCGGCCTCACACGGGCTTTTTTTTTTTTAAGATTTTATTTATTTATTTTTTTTAGAGAGGGAAGGGGGAGAGAGAGAGAGAAACATCAATGTGCAGTTGCTGGGGGCCATGGCCTGCAGCCTAGGCATGTGCCCTGACTTGGAATCGAACCTGTGATGCCTGATTCGCAGCCCGTGCTCAATCCACTGAACTACACCAGCCAGGGCACGAGGGCTTTCTGAGCCCCTTTTACCTGGAGGTCCCTGTGGCTCATAAGGAAGGCAGCTGCAGGCCCTTGCAAACACCAACAGGGGGCGCTTCAGCCACAGGGTGGAGCTGCCCCCCCTTTCTCTCTCTCTCTCTCTCTCTCTGTCTCTCTGTCTCTCTCTCTCTCTCGCCCCATCTCAACCCCGCTGCCCAGGGGGGTCAGCCAGGCAGCGTTGCCCACACCCAGCCACCTCTGGCCCTCGGGGCAATGACGCTGGGCAGCCTCCCCTCCCACCTTGCAGGGCTGCCCCCCACCTGGCACCATCACCGTCACCTTGCTCAGCTTCTTACTGAGCCCTGCAGCCCCGCTCAGGGCGGTCTGTGGAGACTGTTGGGGATGGGGCAGGGGGGAGGGTCACTTATTCATCCACTCCTCCAGCTACTCCACAAGCACAGATGGAGCCCCTACTAGGTGCTGGCACTGTTCAAGGTGGTCTCGTCCTCTCAGAGGAGGGGACAGTGAACAAGAAACGGATACACCTGCACCAGGCTCTGGGAGGCTGCAGGCTCCTGTCCAGTGCAGGAAGAATGCAAGCTTTTAGAGCCAGCTCCCCGGGCCCTGACGGAGACCTCTACCATGGTCCCCAGGCACTGTCCCCCCTAGAGATTGGTCCATGAGCCTCTGGTCTGGGGACTGCTCCTTGGGCTGCCTGCAAGAGCTCTGGCCATGGGGATGTCAGCCAGTCTGGGCAGAGGGGCGTGGCCGAGTCCTCTCTGCCCGCCCTCCGCCCTCAGAGCCTTTGTTCCTGTTCCAGGAAGGGCTGTGTCTTCCCTGCCCATCAGTAACCATCCTGGTGACTTGTCACTGAGCATCTGCTACGGAACAGGCACATGGCTAGATGATCGCCTTACACCTCAGTCTCACGACTTTCCCGAAGGGGGAGAGTGTGGGTTAGGAGCGTGGGCTCTGGGGTCAGGATGCCTGCACTCCAACCCTAGCTCCCCCACTTGCAGCTGTGTGACCTGAGGCAGGTTACATGACCTCTTCGTGCCTCACCCCCTGGTCTGTGAGGTTTCTGAGCAAGCCCTTAGAACTGTGCTTGGCCCGCAGTGAGCTCTGGAGACACACTCTGGCCCAGAGAAGGGAAGCGTTGGCTACAAGGTTGCCACTGGCGAGTAAGGAAGCGGGATTTAACCTCTTGTCCCCGTGTTTCCAAAGCCCCCTTCTCTCCCTGGCTGCAAGGCAAGAAGGAGACCCCTGGCTGGGGAGGGTGAATCAGGAATCCCTGCTGCAGGAGTGTGCTGCGAGTGATGGGCCAGCCCCTTCCTGCTGCAGGGCGGGCGGCCCTAAGGGGGCTGCGGGCCCAGCCTAACCAGCGGACTCCTCCTTTCTGTGCAGCTCTTCGCCATGATCTTCGCCATGTGCCTCTTCCGAGGCATCCACTAGAGGGCGTGGCCTGGAGCCTGAAGACTCACCCTGCCCACCCACTGCACCCGATGCCCTCCCCTCCCCTACACCCCTCCCCGCTTGGTCCCCGGGGAGGAGGTGAGGCCACCATGAGCGGCCAGGAGAAGGGGCAGAGGAAAATAGCTATTTTTTTAACAAAACAAAATGACAAAAATATGAACTGATGTACCTCGCCTGAATTCGGGGGTGGGGGCCGCAGGGGCCGTGGGCTCTCTGCACCCAGGATGCAGTCTGCCCCAGAGACCAAAGCAACACCGGTGCCAGGTCCCCGAGGCCCAGCGGGACTCCGGCAGCCCTGGGCCTGGGGCGTCTCCCCGCAGCTTCCGAGCCCGGTGCCAAGAACGTGAGGGTTTAGGCAACAAGGAGGCAAAAGCAGATCTCAGAGAAAGGTCCCCATCACCCAGGGGCCCCAAGGAGCCTCGGTCACCACGTCCTGGAGAACTCAGAACCTCCGGCAATCCCCAGTCCTCTGGCCGATGGAGCTGTCCCTGCTCCTGCTCAAGCCCAGGGTGGGCCTCGGACACTGGACCCAAGAATGGCCCAGCCGCCGGGGTCTTTGCTTTCCCTGCCGTCGGACCAAATAACCAGGATGGCCCAGAGTCACAGCCACGCTCACACCGCACATGGGTGGCGTTCCGAACCAGCACCCGGTGGTCTCCAGGCTGCCTCCCCCCACCGCCCGGGGCTGTCGCCGGTCCGGCAGGCCTGCTGCTCACACCGTTCCCTGGCCTCGGCTCCAGGGTCTCCCCGGGGCAGACGGGCCAGGGCCGGTCTCTTCGCAGCTCCACAGCTAAGAAAACCCCGGAATGTCCCCGCCCCGCCCTCCCTCCCCCTCCCCCACACTTCTCAGCCACCAGGAACACACATGTACACACACCAGAGCCCCTTTTCCGAGCTGCTCATCTCTCCTTGTAAGCCCCTCCCCTCCCGTTCTCCACCAACCAACCCCCTGGCACTGAGGGCTGGAAGGAGCCCCCCGAGATCACCCGGTTCTCTCCTCATCCAGAACCGCAGCCTGGGTATCTTCTGTAAGATCTCCGCCAAGACATCTCCATCTTCATGCACCCCTCCAGGGACGGGGAGTTCACTACCTCCCAGGACAGCGTTCTGCCTTGGGCCTGCTGGCTTGAGCATCAGCTCCATGCACGGAAGAGACTTCTGTTTTCCTGCAGTGCCGTCCAAGGCAGAGCCCTTGCTCCCTACGTGTTAGGGGCGCACGCTGTGTCCCCAGTCCCCGTTGTCTCCAGGCTAACGAACTCCGGGGCATCTCGTCTTTCCTGCCGCCACACGGCTTCCTGTGCCGTCACTGTCCGCCGCATGCTTCTGAGGCTCCCGCCGGCTCCGGCAGGAGGAGGCTCCCCGCAGACTCACTGACACCCACACGGCGCCCGCAAGTCAGCCCTCGCCCGTCACACAGGCCTCAGACTCTAGACCAGTGTCGGCTCCTGGGCGGCACAAGGCCTCCACCCCATCAGTGGGGAGCGGCTGTGGGGGCTGTGCTTAGGGTCCGAGGTTTGCACGGGGTCGGGGGGAGGGGAGAGGCCATGTAATCCCGGCTCGTGGCATCTGCCAGGCACCGGAAGCTTGGTTAGTACCGTCTGCCACAGGCGTGGGAGGGGCGGCGCGGTGCCTGTCCTCCTCCCCACTGTCTGTCCTCAGGGTCTGGGGCCAGGCCCTGTGCCGGCTTCCGGCCACTGGGGGAGAGAGCTGTGGCCTGGAGCCCAGCGCCCCCCTCCTCTGCCACCTGCCCGCTTCTGAGATGCAGCCGGAGTTCCAGGCCTGCTGTAAAGATTGGGTTAGACCTCCCACCTCCCCCCCCCCATCCCCGTTCTCACCAACTGGGTCCTTCCAAATTGTCCCTGGAACAGCCTGCCCTGGGATTCCATGATGCCACAAGCTCCCTAGAAACTAAGCACCCCGGGGCCCCACAGCTGGTACCCCAGCCTAGCCTGAGAAGGGCCTGGGGCCTGCCCTTCCAGATCCACCAGCTTCCTGGAAAAGCCAAGTGGCTGGTCTGAGGTTGACCAAAAAGAGAGCTCAAACCAGGCAGCGGTGTGGCTTGGGTCCGGGGGCGGTCCAGGCGGATGGGGGACCTTGGGGGTGAGAAGTGCTAGTGTGGCACCCCTCCCCTCCAGCCTCTCCCCTCCACCCTCCTGGGCCCCAGAGGAGCTCGACGAGGTTGTGGGGAATCATTCGGCTGAAGGGCTCACAGGGTGGACGTGAGACTCCTTTCAGGGCTTTCCAGAAAGGTGCCAGGGAAGACAGAGGTGGCTCTGGCCCCTGGCCACTCTCAGGCTGCAACAGGGAAGCAGGGCACCTGCCCAGCGGGCAGCATTCACAACGCCACCGCCAGTGGGTGGCCATTCGAGGTGCAGGGGCGTGGAAGGAGAAAGCCCTGCCCCGATATAAGGAGTCTGTCGGGCTCCAGCCCAGCTGGGCTGGTCGAGGTGGGGCCCACGCAGGACAGGTGCCAGAAGCAGTTGCCCGCCAAGGGGTAGGAACACCTCTGCAGGCTTCTTATGACCCGACAGCAGGGCAAGGGCCAGGCGAGACCTCACACTGAGCCGGGTGCCCACCCTGTTCCTCCTTGCTCCAAAAGCCAGTGCCTCTGGGAGGAGGGGGACATCTTGGGGGCTGGGGGGTCCATCCCCAGGCCCCCTTGCCCCTCTCCTATCTAGGCCTAAGGGGCCCAGGCAGGGTCCCCCAAACTAGCTGAGGCCCCAGCACCCCAAGAAGCCCTCTTCCCCCTACCCCATGGGCCCTATGTCGAAAGTATATTTTGAAAATTGTAAATGTTCCTTGTAGTAGATAGCAGAGGTAATTTATCATGTTTATTTCCCGTGAGCCCCCTTTTTATATTATATATCGAGAGTTTTTGTAATATAAAGCAGGACACCCACACTGATGGTTTTGCACTGGTTTTTGTGACCGTTTCTTACAAAAAGAAAAAGGAACAAAGAATAAATAGTGGCCGTGAAGAAAAGTGGTCTCGATTTGGGGGCTGGGTGGGCGGGGGCAGGAGCAGGAGCTTGGCCAAGAGGGTCCAGGGCTCTGGTGGCAAAGGGGGCCTGGGGGAGCGGGGAAGGGGCATCCTGGGTCTTCCCAGACCTTTAGGATTGCAGCTGGGCCTTCAACCGACTCCGGGCCTTCGTCACCGTCTCCCCCGCAACAAGGACTCCTCCTTAACACACACCCCCGCCCTGCGCCCCGCGCCCCCCTGGGATGTTTGACCAGGCACCACAGGACTCCATGAACACCACCTGGCGCCACAGCCCGGGCAGCGCCATCCCCACGGGCCCTCCCTGCACCCCAGCTGAATGGAGCGGCTTGGCCAGTTCGACCCAGCAGGCGCCCACCACAGCCCGCACCTGCCCTTCCCTGTCTGCCTGCGGAGGGGTCCACCTGCCATGCCCAGCTGCTATCCAGAAAGACCACCCACCACCCATGGGGGGACCAGCCAGGCTTTCCGGGGCACGGGTCAGCCGGAGGACGTGGCCTTGGCCGTGGAGGCACTGCCCAACAGCCACCAGCGCCACTCCCCCGAGTCGGCGGTGGGCTCCCCGCCTGCCCAGCGCCCTTCCTGGGGACGGGCACAAACTGCAGTGGCAAGAGAGGGCTGCCAGGAAAGAGCAGGCCTGTCCTCAGTGTCAAGGTCCCCCTCTGCTCGGCCATGGCCACCAGCAGCAGAGCCTTAGGCCCCTGACCCACTGGGCCTCTCTCCTCAGCTGAGCTGGACACTGGGCATGCGGCTGCGGGGACAGCCGGGCACCGGGAGGGCAGTGCGAGGTTCCAGGCCCAGCTGGCAGTGGCCAAGAGCTGGGCTGCACCGAAGGACCACCGCCTCGCCCCCAGACGCTCTCTGTTCCGACAGAGGGAACCTGGGGCCTGGGCTGCTTCTCTCCACGCCTGTCCCCAGGACCCGGGGCTGCCGTCCGCGCTGACCTCCTGGAGGGGGCACTGGGGGCACCCAGGCCGCTGGGTCTGCGGAGGTCTTTGGCTCGGAGGGAGCCAGCTGTCGGCCTTCTCCAGGGTGTCAGAGCTGGGGGGAGGGGGCCTCCTGAAATATTTATTTCCCCTGCTGAGTTTGAAGGGCACCCAGTCCTATCCCGCCAGACCCTGGGAGCAGCACCCTGGGGAGGAGGTAGGGCAGGTGAGAGGCTAAGCCGGGTGAGCATCGGACCCTGGAGGGCGTGGCCAAGGGACAGAGAAATGCCACTGATGTCCTTTCTTCCTTGTCTCCGAACCTCGACCCTCACAAGCAGCCCCCATCGGGGGTTCCCTATGTCCACGGCAGGGCCCGCTTGTGGGGGAGACCACTGGCAGCCTCTGAACCCAGGCTAGCTGCGGGGAGGGGGCTCCCGGGGCCCCCAGGAGCGGGGGCGAAGGCAGAGCAGCCCGGGGCAGAGCCCCAGCAGAGCCCATGGTGACCCGGACGGGCTCTGCTGCACGTGGCCCACCTCGCAGGGAGGCTGCAGGGCAAGGGCCAGCCCCGAGACCGCCACCTCTGCCCATCGGCCTGCGGCTGGGCTGCGGGGAGGGCGGGTGTGGGAGTCCAGAGGTGGAGGGGGGCCCCCACGTGTGTGGAGGGCCCACGGCAAGGATAGGGACGCAAGGTCAAGTTCTTGGGTTTTCCAGGCATAGATAGAAGCCAAGTTCAGCTGCTTGGGCACTAGATCGGCTGGGGGTGACAGGGAAGGACCAGGAGGCAGCCCACAGCCTCTGTCCTTCCAGAGGGCCTCCGGGCAGAAGGGGCAGGGGCCTGGCCTCAGCCCCAGTGCGGGCTCTTTCCGTCGGCGTCTGTCCAGGGGACCCACAGGCCAAGAGGCCCCAGAAAAGGAGGCGTCACTGTGTGGGGCAAAGAGCAGGGGTGCAGTGGCCCCGTGCCTCCCCAAACCTGAAGGCCCAGATCACGGCTCTTGGGGAGGGCCCAGGAAGAAGGGACGGCGGCCACTCCTGTCTGCCTGGGCAGGGGAGGGTCTGTCCTGCCTTCCACGAACCGAAGGGAAGCCGAGGTCCAGGGCTGCCCTGCCCCGGGGCCCGGCCCAGTGGTCAGCTAGACTTTCTTGGGTTTTCGGCCAACTTGGTAATAGTAGTAAACGCTGATGGCAACGAAAAGGAGGCGGCTGGCCAGGAGCAGCAGAATCCCCAGGGACACGAGGCCCGTCTCGGCCAGCGTGGCAGTGACCACTGTGGGGGAAAGGCCAGGAAGGGACAGGGGTCAGCGCAGGGAGGCGCCCTTGCCCCGCCCCAGGATGGCCTGAGGTCCTGCCAGCCGTCTGACCCCACAGACGCCTCTGGGCTGACGTCCCCGCACAGGCTGAGCAGGTGGGCAACACCTGTGCTGGGATGTGGGCGGCTATGGAAATGCCCGTGTGTGTGTTCAGAAGACACAGGTGTCAGGTGTGTGAGCACAGGTGTGCAGACACAGGTTAACACAGCCACGTGGGCCCCTCCCCCTCAGACAGGTTCCCGTCATGTCCTAGAAACCCGAATGGCAGGAGCTGGGAGGCGAGGCCGAAGCTGCCCTGCCCACAGCCCGCCTTCAGCCAACCCCCCTCACTGTCCACCGCAGGACTCACCCAAGAACTGGACCCCAAAGTAACAGGCTTCCGTGAGCAGAGTCCACCGGATGATAACCTTCTCGGCCGTGTAGAGGGCATTCCACATGATCAAGGAGATGCCTGGATGGGGACAAAGAGGGAATTAGGGGCAGGACAGCCTGACCCACCCGCCCCTTTGGGGCAGGGGTGAGAGGCCTGGTCCTGGTCCCCGTGGCCCTACATGACAAGACAGCCAGGACCCTGTATATCGACATCTGCCCCCACGCATTTCCTCAACCCTAACCCCCGCCCCCTGTCCCTCCCCATCCCGTTCCCTCCAGGCTCGACTCTGCCGTGTCGGCCAGGAAGTTGGTTTCCGTTCATGCACTGTCCCCCACACCGTGGGACACTGGGCAAGTCACATCCCCTCACTGAGACTCTGTCTTTTCACCTGTAAAACGGGAGACCTGAGCCCCAGGTGCCCTGCCCCCATCAGGCTCTGTTCTGGGCTGATGGGACTGAATGAGTTAGTGGCTCACGGGGTCCTCCGATCACACTCTCTGTCCCAGTGGACACCCGAGCCTGCTGAGGAGTCTCGCTAAGGAGCTCCCCAGGGGGAGGAGGGCAGACCATATCTCCAGTGTAGGCACCACCGACCGAGCCTCTACCAGGCCACGCTTACCCAGGCTCTGCTGGCTCTGACACCAGATACGTACTCACTCTATTTAAACAAACCTAAGCCCATACCCTAGCTCCCAGCTGTGTGGGTGACGTGCTTGAACCCGGGCCAACCTCCACCCCCCCTCCCCGGAGGTACTGGAGCTGGCCCGTGAGGGTTGAGTGGACGTGCACGCAGCACGAGACTGGGGAAACTGCGTGTGCGAAGGCACCGAGACCTTCTGAAATGAGGATGGGACACCGTGACGTGTGGCTGGATGTGGGGGAGGGAGGTTTGGGAAGGCCACCTGGATCCACCCCCACAATGCCCCTGAATGCCAGGTGGTAGAGCTGGGACTTTCATCTGAAGGCAATAGGGAGCCAGAGCATGTTTTGGAGAGGGAGAGGAATGCCATCTATACTAGGTTTTTACAGCTGTTGTTCAGCTTCCTAACAGGCACATTGTGTGTGACTCAGATGGAAAAGGAAACAGATGTGGTTCAAATGAGAGGCCCAAGGGTGAGAGGGGTTTTGCAGGCACAGCGTTGATTCTGCCTGCTGCTCTAGTGCGTGAGGCTCTGGGAGCAGGGCCTTGGCCTCATTCGTCCCTGCACCCCAGTGCCCACGTGGTGCACTTTGCCCAGCAAGCGCTCAGTTAAGTGCTTGCCCCAGAGGATGGCCCACACACAGCCCAATCCACTGGGTGCATTCTACCAGTGGCCACAAGATGGCAGCATGCACCCAGCAGAGACAGAGAGCTGAAGGGGGGTTATCTGGGGCCGCAAGCCCCCGCACAGAGGAAGGCGCCCCATGTTCCCCTCAACCCCACTCAGTCCCCCAGAGTGCTCCCCAGCAATACTCACTGAGGAGGGCACCCCCATAGAGGCGGATGGGGGTCTTGCTGGTCACCTGGGCTCCATCAAAGACCGCGTCATAGAGCTGGTCAGGGAAGGCAAGGGCCTGGGGATAGCAGATGGGAGGTTTAGGGTGGGGGGGGGGGTCACTGTGAAAACCCCTGGACATCTTCCTTCCCCCAGGAGCAGGGCCAGGGTCTCTTGACTGCCCCCCACCCTCCACAGCAGGACAGAAGGGGCTGGGGTTGCCAGGGGCAAGGAATCAGGACCATGGCCAGGGTGGGCCAGGGCATAGGTGGGAAGAGTGTCAGGAGCCAGGACGAGGAGGCGGCCGGCGAGCCTTGACAGATGGGGCCTCAGCATAACGGCCATGCCCATTGGGAGAGGCAGCAGGGACCCCAGGGGAGAGAGGAGCCCCTAGTAGAGGCAGGCCCGAGGTCCCCAGGGGCGGGGCAGGGCGGGGGCTCACCACGACAGCAATGCCGGAGAAGAGCACAGCTGAAACGAACTGCCAGACCCTGGGGGGGCAGCAGCGGGAAAGTCACAGCCAGACCCCTCGCTGCTGCCCCCAGACCCCAGGGGGCCCTTCCCTCTCCAGCCACGATGCCCAAGGAGAGGCGGTTTTGAGGTGGCGGGACATGGGGAATGAGATGGGTTGGAATGAAGGGCAAGACCAGAAGCAGGTCTGACACACCCCTTCCCCAGACCCCCACTCCCCACCAGCACCCACATGTAATGCTCACCTCAGTCCCAAAGGCTCCCGCACGGCAAACTTGATTTCGTTGCCCAAGACCTGGCTGATCTGTAGACACAAAAGGGTCACAGACAGGCAACCATGGTGCGGCAGTGCTCGGCACACCCAGCCCGCTCAACCCCTAGACCCCCGACCTTTGGTTGGTGTGCTCCAACACCCACCCAGGTGCCTCTGCTTAGCCAAACGGCCACCCAGGCTGGAGGGGTCACACGGAGGCCACCCCTCACTGCCTCCCTGACACCAGGGCTTGAGGGAAGCTGACAGTATGACGGTGGCCGAGGACAGAAGCCCAGGGGTCTGCCAGACATGGCGGCAGCCTGGCCCTGCCTCTTCCTGGGGTGGCCTTCAGCAAGTCACTGAACCTCTCTGAGCCTCCTCTAGGCTCAGACGAGTCCCCTCATCTGTAAAATGGGTTCATAACTGTCTGCATCTTCCAGGGCTAGCAAAATTAAATAATGCTTGTAAGACAGAGTTACAATAACAGGCACATCGTAAGCTCTCAGTTCCTTCTAATGATCTGTTTTCACTGTTGTTTTTATTCCCCTGACATCTCCTATAAGCTTCTAGAAAACGGAGCTCAGTCCTGGAGCCCCTGCAGCTACGTGTGTCTCCGCTACTCTTCCCCCAAACCGTGGGCCAGACCTGCTCCCCCACCCGGCACTCAGCGGTGGACCCCGGGCGTGGCCCACCTTGGAGCGGTGCACCTCCCCGTCGTCGTCCTCCCCGCCCACGCCGAGGATCTTCCGGGTCTTCAGGCGGCTCACAAGGTCCGTCTGGCTGTGCTTCTTCATGAGAGGCGGGGGCTGCTTGGCCGCCATCCTGTCCTGGGGCCCAGCTGCCTCCTCCTCAGAAGGGCTGTAGGGAGACACAGCATCAGGCCATGGGTCGTCCTCGGCTTCCAGACCCCCTCCGCCTGGGGCAGCAGGTGGGTCACAGAACAAGGAATCGGAGGCCCAGGCTCGGTACTCAGGTCCCTAACTGTCCAGCAGTGATGAAAAAGAGGCACGTCCCTGCCCTTTTCTGACCTCAGCTTCCTCATGTGTAATGTACTCGGGTGCGGGCACTCCTAAGGCCCCTCCGGCTCGGCCAGCCCGTCTGGCCTAAGTGGACATGGCGCACCCCAGGTGACCAGGCTGGACCGGTGGAGCCTTACAAACAGCCTGGAGGACAGTGCCCAGGAAGCACTGGGCTGAGACCACACCCAGAGGTTCCCAGGGGGTGGGGTAAGTGGCGGCTTGAGCTCAGCAGGCAAATGAGGTTTTGAAGAAGGAAGGGTGAGTCCAAGCCAGGGTTCCGGAGCCCAGACACCAGGCTCTCCCCTCACCAACTTCTGCCAGACGATCCCTAAGGCCCAGCAAGCCCTGCTCCCCTCCCCACTTGTATGCCCAGACAGCCCCCTTCAAACCCACCAGGACAGAAGGACAGGGAAGGGGCTGGCCACGGGAGCCAGCTGACCCAGAGGAAGGATGGCCAGGGGTGTGGGCAGGGCTTTGGACAGTCCAGATCTGTCCCCTCCCTGCCACCAGCCTCTCCCCTACCCCATGTCTGCCCATGACTCTCCACGGCCCCCAGCCCTGGCCACCCCCCAGCTCCACCTCGGGCCAGGTCTCAAGCACCTACTGTGTGTCCGGCAGGGTGATGGGCAGTGGGGACGCAGAGAGGAGTTGAATGTCAGGTCTCGCCTTTAGTCAGCACAAAACCTGTGCAGAAGAGACAGGAGCATAAACCACAATGAAGCAAAGGCTTCCAGAAGCTGGCCCAGGGGTGGCAGTAGGCTCCGCTAACCATGGCTGCTCAGCCCTGCAAGACGGGTGCTGTTCACACCCATTTCTCGGATGAGGAGGCCATGTTCAATGAGGCTCAACAGACACGGGTCACTACCAGCAGCGCCAGCAGCAGGTGCCCCCTATTCCACCGCCTAGTTCCCACCACGGCTGCCCTCTGGGAAGGCTGGAAAGCCACGCCCATTTGCAGACAAGGCTCAGAGGTCACCTCCCCTCCGGCAGGAACCTGAGCGGGTCTTGCCAGACCTCCCTCACTGGCCTCCAGCCCAGGTCTCAGTGCCCTGTGGCCGCAGGTGAGTCTCCCTCTCCGGGGCTGCCGAAATCAATGCACAGAAATACATGTCCCCAGGTTACCTCCGGTCTTCCAGCCCCCCAGTGCCATAAAGCAAAAGGAAGCACCCAGCAAATAAACATCAGATCAGAGAGTCACACTGTGGGGTGTTTGGATAACGAGGCTTCAGAATCACAGACGCTGGGCAGGAAGCACACCAGCTTGATTTTGGAAAAAATGCAAAATCAGTACGGGAGGTCTTCAGTGCGTTCAAGGCCAGGCCACCGGCCGGCCTAAGCTCCCGAGCCACGTCATTCGACTGTCAAATGAATACCGCTATGCTTTCCCCTCCCCCACACACCTGGGGTCCTGGGAGGTGGCTGGTGGTGACCAGAAGGCGGCTCAGTGCCGGACACCAGTGGGTGGGGAGATGGCCGGCCCCACTGTGACAGCCAGAGTCTCACCTGACTGCTCCCCAGGGACCTAGGGGCTGTCACCACACCTCAGCCACTGGCCGCCACGTTCCTACGCATCCAGCTAGAAGCTATAATCACACCGGCATCCCCCCAGCGGCCAGGTGGGCCCGAGAGCCACTGCACGGCAGTATTGCCGGGGGCATGCACACCGGTGTCACTATGCAGTCGCCGGCGGAGGAACACTGGTTTGACTCCAGACTTGCACGGCGGTGAACCTCCACACACGGGGTTTTGTGCAGCCCCAAGTTTTCCTTCCTCTGAGGGAAATACCCAGGCGGGGGGTGATACCGAGTTACACGGTAACTCCACGCTGGGCTCGAGGAGAAAGTGCTGACTGCCCCACAGCGGCGGCCCAGGGGTGTCCCTCCGCAGTGCGCGTGCACGCCGCAGCTCCGCATCCTCTCCAGCTCCAGGCGCGGTCGGTCTTCCACCAGCCCCCGGCTTTTTAGCCCGCCCTCCCAGAGCCTCCGTTTTCCCCACCTGTGAGATGGAGCCGCACTTCCCACCTCCTAGGGATTCAGGGGCGAAGAGAAGCTTGGTCAGGGCGCATAGTGCAGCGCCTGCCCGCTTAAATGGAGAAACTGCATGTTCGTGAGGATGCGCCGTGAGCCGGGCACAGGGGATGGGAGGGGCCCTGCCCTGAGGTAGCTCTCGGCCTAAGTAGGGGGAGGGGGCAGGGGTGCTCAGCGGCCAGCCATCCAGCAGAGCAGGCCGCTTCCCCTCTGAGCCCCAGAGTTTTCATCTGTGAAATGGAAACCCATCACTTTTCCCCTAAGGCTGGGTGAAGGAGAAACACATTAACAGACAGGAAGCCGCTGTGAAGTGCCCGCTGACTGCTACCGCGGACTGCGGGGCACCTGCTGGTTAAGAGCTCCACTGCTGGTCATACCCCGGTGGGGTTTAGACTCTGGACCCACCACTTCTCAGCTGCGTGCCAGAGGGCAAGCCACTCAGTCTCTCTGGGCCTCAGTCTCCCCGTCTGTAGCGGGGAAAATAAAAGGTCCTACCTTAAGGGGGTGCTGTGAGAATACAAGATGCAGCTGAGAAGCACACGGGCCAGTGTGCCTGGCCCCTGGAAACCGCTCCACAGAGACAGGTACCTAGGCACTCCGCACCGCCCCCCTCCCCCGGTGTCCCCCCATGCAGCAGTGGCTCCAGGAAGGAAGCCGGGGCAAACCAGGAGAAGGACTTACCTAGCATTTCCTAATATCTCTGCCCCATCGGCAAAGCCCCGGCCCTCAGTCCCACGGCAGAAGGCTGCCTCTCACGCCAGAGCCCACAAGGACTGGGCTGTGTCCGTGGCCCCCGCTCAGGGGGTCAGCTGCCTTCCTCTGCCCAGTGACCTCCTCTCCACACCCTGCTCCCCTCTGCAGCACGGGCCCGAACATCGACGGCCGTGCGGTGTGGCGGTGCACTGCCACCAGGCCCTGGGCTGGTGGGACCCACGGCACCCCGAGCCCAGCCCCAGCACCAAGCTCCCCACCAACAAAGAGAGGGCCCTGAGGCCTCCTAGGGAGAATGAAATCTTGAACCTGATCTCCAGGAAGTGGATCCCTTGCACCTGCCTCTGCAGTGAACTGCCAGAGCACCGAGTTCTGTCACTGCCTCGCCCGCAGGCCTGGGCCCTGCCCCTGAGCGCACGCAGGTGGGCGGCTGCAAACACTCCTGCACGCCCTTCAGCCTGTAAACACACCCCGCTCCGAAGGCAAACCAAACCCTCCACGCTCGCCTCAGATCTGCCCTTGAACTTGCCTCCCCTTCAAGACCACTCTCTGTGCTCCGTTCAGGCTTGGCCCCATTTTAATGTAAGGGGACAGAGCGCACCTCCTGCCATTCCTCTCCCCGCACTCTGGCTGGACACTGGCCTAGGGGCAGCCAGACCTGGGTTCAAATCTGATTCTGCTCTTTGACCAGCAGCAGGGCTCGGGGTGAGTCCCCCAGCCTCGGTTTCTGCTCCTGAGACTCGGGGGCACTGAGAACGCCCACCCTGCAGAGGTGCCCTGCCCGTGGCAGGCCAGGCCCTCGCTCCCTCCACCCCCTTCCTTCACTCACTCAGCCGTGCAGCGTGGAAAAAGCCTGCCCCGCAGGGCCGCCACGCTTCCTTTCCCAGACCGAGAGGCTGCCTGAAGGGCTCCAGGGCTTCCCCAAGTGCCTGTTCCCCCAGCCTGGCTAGGAGAAGAGGTGAGGAGGGGGGCTGCCCTCCACCTGCACGCTCCCCTGGGGGGACCTGCTAAGCAAGAGGGGAGAGTGCGGCACGCAGCTGCCCCGCAGACTCGGGTTCACACCCTCTGCATTCCGCCCCTGGCCAGCTTCTCTGACCTCGATTCTCGATCGAGCTGGCAAGTCACTGTCCTTTTACTAGTTGTTTCCACTTCCAAACCACCGCCCAGCCAGGCAACCCAACCCTCCCTGCCTTCCGACCCCTACCCCGCCCCCGTGTCCCTTGCGCCTCAAGTCTCTGCATGGCCCTCGGCCGGGGGTCTTCCCAGGGCATCGCCTCCTCCCGTGACTCGTGGGTTTCAGGCAGGTGACCGCTGCCCCTCCCTGCCCACACTCCCAGTCCTGTCGCAGGCAGCTGGCCTCCTGGAGACTGAGTGACCTGAAGGCAGGGCTGGGACCGTGCCCATCTGAGAGTCTCCCTGCTGCGCCCTGGCACGCAGTAGGCACTTTGTTAGCACAGATGGATGAGATGGACTAAGGGAAGCAGGTCTCACTACCCACCCAGAACGCTCAGGAACACACTCGGTTCCATGTGGCAGGGCCCAAGGGCGGGCTCTGCTCCAAACACACAAGGCAGAAAGCTGAGGCTCAGAGCGACAGGAACTGTCCCAGGCCACACACGAGCTGGTGGCAGAGGAGGGCAGGAAAGGGGCTTTGCAGTCAGCAGGGCTGGGTCTGAATGTGGACTCTGGCTCCTGGGCTGATGGCAGGGGGCCTTGAGCAAGGGGTTCACGGGGTGTTGAAGACTCCAGGAGAGGGTACAGGCACTCTTGGCAGAGGGCCTGCTATGTGGGGTGCTGGGACACGGTGGGGTTAGAGGACTTCAGGAGAATTCGGCGTGAAACCTCCTCCCCCCCCCACTGCCTCAGAAAGCCCCAGCAGCGCTAGAGGGGATTGCTGGGGGTGGGGTGTCAACAGGGCCCAGACAGTTCCTGGTACACAAGCTCAACAAACATCTGTGACACCTTAATGAATAGGGGAGGGGCCAAGAGGCCCCCACTGCCTAAGGCCTCACTCCTTGCAGCCCATGCCCCCCTCCCATCCCGGCCTACCCCTTCCTCATGTTGTGTGGCATCTGAGACCAGGAAAGAATGTCTCCAAAGAGCTTTCAGTGGCAGCGAGACAGAGGGGCCAGGACAGGGTGGAAGCCAAGCAAAGCCCTCCCCCCACCAGACTGAACCAGGCAGGAAGAGGGCTTCAGCGGATGACAGAGGTGGGGGGGGCAGGGGGTGCGTATACTTAACGACTGGTAAACGTGGGCTCAGAACCTCGGTGCTTTATCTTAATTATGCTGTGACCTCAGGAAAGTTTCTTAACCTTGCCAAGCCTCTATTTCCTCCCCTACGAAACCACACACGACTTAAGCTTCCTGGGTTGGGACGAGACACACAGAAAAGACAGCGAGGGCCCGGTGCCCGACCTGAACCGGGTGAAGAGCAGCCATCTGTGAGATTGTGGGGCGGCCGCCCAGACCCTGCCCCTGCAGCAGAGCATCCTGGCTGGTGCATCCTTCTGCTGGTCCTGGAGGACCTCTCCCAACCCCTGGAGCCACTCCAGGAAGCCTGGTTTCCATAGAAACAGAGGGAGGCAGAGCTGTCCCTATCATGGAACCTGGCAGGGGGAGGGGGAAGGGGCCTGGGGCCCAAAACACCCACCAGCTTCTGAGCCTCCCCATGATTCAAGGGGGAGTCACTGCTGCTGAGTGTCACAGCCAGGAACCACTTCCTTTCCAAACAAGACCCTCCACTGGAGGAGCAGCACACCTGTCCCTCCCATCTGGCAAGGACAGCCACCCCCAGGGGCATCCGCCCTGGGGCTGGAGGCAGGGGACAAGCACATCCAGACCAGGAATTCCCTAAAACCCCCACCACAACCCTATAGGATGCTCCCCATTTTACAGATGAGGAAACTAAGGCCAAAATATCACCTGAGGCAAGTGGCAGGGCTGAAATCCAAGCCACATTAACTGTGCTGTGACTGGATGTCCTGAGCGGAGCTGGGGTGCGCCTGTGCATGGGTGGGAGGCCGGTTGGGGAGCCTGACCTCCGAAAAGAGCTAAGCTCTGAGTTCTCCTCCCCACCTCCCCTGAAAGTCCCTGGCAAGTGGCCAGCCTCCACACCCCGCCCTGGGACCGGCCTCCCTCGGGCTAGAGCCCCGTGGCTCCAGCAGGGCCTGGGAAGGGTTGCAGGGAGCCCCATTGTTCTGTTATCACATTCGTGCAAAATAGCTGGAAATGGGTCTGGGACAGGGCAGTGCCAGGGGGTGGGAGTCAGTGAGAGCGACTTGGGGCCCTGGCCAGAGAGCAGGGTGGCAGGGGCCAGAGCCCACACCATCCGCCCTGGGGTCCCTTCCTGGGGCAGCCCACCACCCACTGCCTGGGCCCTCAGGCAGTGAATCTTGGGGGCAGGGGGGAGGACCTGTGTTTCACATCTTGGCTGTGCGTTACTAGCTCTGTGCTTTGGGCAGATGACCCTCCCCATTCCTGTATTATAAATGGAGGTGACCAGGCCTGGCTTACCAGGTTCTGGGTGGGTTAGAGCTAAACCAGAAGTTCCAGGACACAAGCGAGACTGGATAGACACAGCCACATGACCGACATCATCACAGTGGCCTCTGGGTGCAGGTTCTGGTGGGGAGGCCTCATGGCCACTGCCTAAGGGTGGCAGCCCTCATGGCCACTGCCTAAGGGTGGCAGCCGAGGCCAGGCTGCCGTGTGGCAGGGCTTCCTTGCAGCGTGTCCCCGGAGAGTGTAATCATTCTGCAGGCTGGGCCGGCCTTAGTCAGCCTGGTCTCTCCAGGCGCCGGTGAGCCAGCGTCAGGCAGGGCTGCACCGTCCATCTCTTGTCGCTCCCACCCTCACTGCCAGCTCGGTGTCCACGCTGCTTTCTGCAAAGGCCATGGATGGCCGCGTGGAACTGTCAGGGAGAGGAGGGGGCATGATGTGGGTCCTGTAGCAGCCACGAGCCCGGTTCCCACAACAAAGCTCTGGAGTCAGGAAAGGGACTCCGAGAACCACCCGCACGGACCTCCAGGAACACGGGAGCCGGCAGCTGACGTGCATTCCAACCACAGCTGGAAGGCCGGTGGGGGAGCCCTGAGTCACCAGGCAGAGAGACAAGTCAGCTGAGGCCGCCAGCAGGTTCTGCCACAGGGCCGGACTCTGGGACTCAGTTTCCTCATCCAGAAAAGCAGGAGTGTGGTCCCTCCTGCCTGTCACATTCATGGTGTGGTTTCCAAACCCTGCTGTCCACTAGCCACACTCCAGCTGCCCGGCCCCCAGGTCCCACCACCTCTCCCGTTGTCTCCATCTCTCTATTAGTTCTCTTTCTTCTGAAGGTGCCTAACTTCCAGAAAAGCGGAGAAAAGCCCAAACTTCCATCACAAACAAATATCTCCAAAGCCTCAGAGACAAAAAGTAAACACCGCCTGCTGTGCTGGAGAGGGGGGAGGGCAGGACAGAGGGCCAGAGGGCCAGAGGGGACATCCCTGGGGACCTCGACCAGGGGTCTGAAGCTGCTGCTGTGTACACGGGGGCGTCCAGCCATCCGCCCCCACGCAGACGTCACCGCAGAAGTCACCCAGAGGGTTTTCCCTGGCCCTACTGGCACTCACAAAGGGCAGACCGAATGGAGAATTCCTGTCCTTTTCAGGCCAGGAATGGGCCAGTCCCCCGCCTGGCCCAGTGACCACGTCAGGGCGCTCGGAGGCAGCTGGTGCTTCCGGGTCCCCTGGGACCACGGTCATCGGGACAGTCTGGCTTCCGGATCCCATGCCGCCCGAGCTCCTGGGAGAAGGCAGTGGACACGTCCTTCTCTCCTTCCCCCTCCCCCACCCCTATAGCTACTCAGGAACTCAGGAGGGGAGGAGGGGAGTTTCCTTGAAGGGATGCCGCACCATTTCGAGCCAACTTTTTCAGAGGCAAACACCTTCTGGTGGGTTGGGGGAGGCAGGCAGGAAGGTTCCTGTACTTTTTCCCAGGACGCTGATGGGCCAGGACCATGGTCCAGAACCGACCATCGCCCCTGGGGTTTGGGGCTGTGGCCCAGCCCTTAAAGGAAGAGGTCACAACTATAAGGCCTGTGCTTACCATTTATGAGCTGCGTGGCCTTGGGCCAGTGACACCACGTCCCTGAGCCTCAGTTTTTTCATCTGTCAAATGGGTGTAATAATGACACCTACCTCCCCCCAATGGAAAGATGCCCCAAAACCACCTAGAAAAGTACCTGTTTCATAGTGAATGCTCAGTAACAATGTCTCTGTTGTTATTTTCAGACTAAGAGGCTCAGTGCTCTGCTCCAGCTTCCCCCATGACCGTACCAGCTTCAGAACAGGTACTTCCCCGGGCCAGGGGGAGGGGATTTAAAAGAGGGTGACCATGAGAAAGAAATGGCGAGAGAGAACCAGCGTCTCTCTGGGTCAGCAGGAGGATGCTGTCCTGGGTGCACTGACCTCAGGTGGGCAGGGACTGGCCACAGGCCGCAGAGATATGAGCCCCCTGGGGCGCTAAGCCTGGCTGGCTCCCCTCTGTGTCTCTGGCCCGTGGGCAGGCCTGCCCTGGGAGGGGCACAACCAATGCTGTGAATGAACGGTTGAGAGGCAGGGCGAAAGGAAAGTACTGTGGGCCCAGAGTCGGAACATCGGGCGCCTGGCCCCCGGACTGCATGTCCTGGAGTGACTTGTATGTGGTTTCCGGACGTCACTCCCCTCCTCTGTGAAATGGGGAAGTTCCAGCCTTCCCTTGCATCTCCCCCCTGCTGCCCACCAGCCGCCCTGGCTCCAAACCAACCCTCCAGCACATCAGACACATGCCAGCCTCTCGGGGGCTTGGCACAGGCTGTTCGCGGCAGGGCCTTCACTTCCCAAAGATATCCCCACAGCTCACTCCCTCAAAGCCTTATCTCAAAAGTCACCTCCTCAGGAAGGCCTCCTTGACCACCCTATTTAAAATGGCAATCCCACTCCTGGCCTTAACACTCACCTCTGCCCCCTCACCTCCCAATACACTATATATAATGCGCTTATTGATTTCATTAGGTATTTGCCCCTCCCCCTTAAGTGTCAGCGCCATGGGGACAAGAATCTTTATACTGCTCCCAGCTGTCTCCCAGTGTGGGGCACTGTGCTCATTAAACCATGTTTGGTGTACAACTCCCATTTTGTCCAATGAGTGAGCGCAGAGATGTGTGTGGAATATAACCGCACTCTCTCTCCTGCATCCACACCCCCCCCCGCAGGGGGACAGACCGGTTCTCCTGCAGAGGATGTGGGGGGAGCTATCTAAGATCTTGGGGGAGGGGGGGCAGCAGAGCACAGGGCGGGAGAAGCTGGAGGGGGCCTGAGAGCAGAGAACACCCTTGAGCAATGGCCCCCAGCAGGTGTTGACAGCCAGATATGGGCGAAGGGCCTCGGGCCTCAGCTCTCGACTCCAAATTTGGAAGGACTGATTAGCTGACAGCATGTGGTCTGAAAAGAAGCCAGGGAAGCCAGTTTCCAGGATATTGGGGGACAGAGGGCACCTCAGGGACCAGGCCACCCATCTTTCAGATGGGATCACAGAGGCCTGGAGAATACGCAGTACCTTATTTCCTAACAGCTACACAAGAAAAAGCTTTCCTCCTCCTGGTCTGAGCGTAGAGCTTCGGCTAAGATGCCAACAGTGCCCCCTCCTGTCTCTCCAACAGGGGCTCCACCCCCAGAGTCCCTGGGACTGAAGGCTGCCGGATGAGAGGGTTCTGGCCCTCCCCACAGGCCCCCAGGGGCGGAGGTCCGAGGGGCTGCACGGTTGGGGTGCGCACCCCTGCAGCCCTGGGGCCTTCAACCCGCTGGACAGCCCCACCAGGAAAAGTTTGAAGGAAATCAACCAGGAAGTGCGGAGCGGCGAGACGGCCTGGGCTTTGGAGAAACCTCTGGATTTTCGGCCTCCGCCCCGCTCCTGCTCCCGCCCCCAAGGCTCCCGCTGAAAAATCTACTCGCCAGGAGCTGCGAGGAGGCGGTGGGAGCCGGGCTCTGGTTGGGGGCGTGGAGAGTGGAGTGAGGGGACGCCAAGCGAGCTCCAGACCCTGCTGGGCGCGCCGGAGATGGGCGCGGTGTTCTGGCGGCTCCTCTACAGAACCCCGGCGTGGGTGCGAGTATTTTGCCAACGACCGGAGACCCAGTCCGCCCTGAGCCAAGTCAATAGCCCCACACTGCCCCCTTCCTGCAGTGCGCGCGACTTGGGGAGAGTGGGGGCGTCGGTCTCCACCTGTGCTCTACCCCGCCCCCAATAACTGGGGCTTAACTCGGGTTCCGTTTCTGCCAGCTCACCCCTACCCCTAGCCTGGAGACTAAGGTCTTTCCAGGCTTGCTCCTCCTCCCCTCCAACGTATCCTTTATCTCCCAGCTCCAGTCACTCACCCACTTTCTAAGACTCCAAGCGGGGAGCTCCGCGCTGTTAGGCGCCCCTAGGTCCTCTGGCCCAGTGCTCCCGCCCCCAGGACCCCTGAACCAGAAGGTTGCGCCAGACTTGTGGGCAGCGGGAACTCTACCACCTCCTTCCACGGCCCTGCGGGGGTGAAGAAGAAAGGACAGGGACTCGCAAGTTTTTGCCGCGCAGTCCCAGGACTCGGGAACAATGGCGGGGATAGGGATCGGGGGCGCGGGTGGAGGGGGAGGGGACCGAGAACTGAGCGCCGGGTCAGAGTCAGACCCCAGAGAGAGAAAAACTGCTTTTCATTCCCTTTCTCCCTTGTTCGGAAGCAGAGAGCACGAGTCCAGGAAGGGGAGGCTGAGGGCGAAATAAACAGCCCAAGAGGAAGACGGCGGAGGGACAAAGCCAGGGAGAGGGAAACCGAGTCAGAGGGGAAAGCAGAGAGCCGGGAGCGCAAAGGAAAAGAGGAACAGAAGGGCTGCGGAATGGCGCCTCGGAGAACCCAGGAGGGGATCCCTGGGGCCCCCGCTGAATCCGCTGGTGCCAGAAGGTCCTGGGGCCCCCGGTTCGCGAGCAAGGGATCCTCACTACCCCCAGCGCTCCCTGCGGCCGCAGGAGCACGGCTAGGCTGCGCCGCGCTGCGCAGGCACCGGCCGGCTGGCGGCAGGAGGGGAAAGTGCGAGGCTCCGAAGCGGTGGTGGGGACCAGAACTTACGTTCCTAGCGCATGCTGGCGCCGGCTGCGCGGAGCTGGCGTACACGGGGACCTCGGGCGCTCACATCACGCCTACCGCGCCGGGCAGGGCAGGGCAGGGCCGGGCTGGACTGCGTGCTGCACCCTGCGCGGCCAGGGTTTGCCCGAGTCCGGCGGCCCGCGCTGGTCCCTCCTCTCGATGCCGCGCTGAAGCCAATGGCGCGCCGTCCCCTCCCACGCACCGGGCTGCCTCGCCCCCAGGGTGGCCGCCGGGGCGGGCGGGAGAGAGGGGTTGTTGGGGACTGGGCTCCGGGCTCCCCAGCTGAGGCTTTCCTGAAAACCGCCGGTGGAGGGCGCGCTCACGCCCTGAGAGGAGGCTTTTGGGGATCAAAATCGAGGGTTCCTACCGCTCAGGATGACTTAGTTGGCAAATTTTGAAGACAGTGCCTCTTTTGTGAAACTATCAACACCCCCGTAAGTTGGCAAACCACACGCTCTTAAATACCCTTGGGGTGTTCCCTGGAGCCTAGGCCAGCATCTAAAATAGAAGGGACTGCTTGGCTGGTAGATGCCCAAGTGTGTAGTAACACAGTTACAGCGGCCACTGTCTGCTGAGCGCCGATCAGTGCCAGGCACCGGCGCTCCAGGAGTTACAAGTATTATTAACTCATTCGATTCCCGCGACCACCTATGAGGTCAGGATGATCAATCCCATTGTATAGATGGCTGTCATTAATGTTTGATTTCATTTAACCTTCTGGCTTCCTGCCTAGGCCCACCCTCCCCTCCCCCTGCTTGAGGTGACTCTGCCAAATAACATGACACCACACGTGCACCTTCATCCCCCACCTGGCATCAGCGATGCCGCCGTAAATTGCATTGTTGTGGACTAAGATCTTATCTGGGGCTCCTCATCTGTGGGGTGGGGGTGCACCGTTGTCAAACTGTGGGGGTGGGGAGAGGGTAAGAATGGGGTCTGAGGGTCCTCAAGGCTCTTGGGAGCCTTTGAGCCTGAAGAACCAGGTTCCTATAAACAACACCCCTCCTCCCAGATTCTGGACTAGTTTCAACCCCCTGTGACCAGGGTAACCGGCTCAGTCCAACTCCCAGCACCCCGCCCCTCCTTAGAGAACACCTGCGTCTCTTCCTCTGGTCTCATCACTGATGGGGTGGGAGGTGGGGGCAAGAGGCCGCTCCCTGTCACAAGGCGAGTAAATGGGGCAGAGGTGAGTGGTGCCCCAGGCATCTGGCCGGGTGGGCATTTTGACTCCAGGTCTGGGTTCTCTCTGCACTCATTCCTTAAAGATAAATCAGGCAGGCTCTGGAACCAGACTGCCAGGTTCAAATCCAAGCCCGGCCTTGTGGAGATCGTGTGGCCTAAGGCACACACAGAGATAGCACCAGACGACACACACAGCTCACGATGACCGACAGAGGGCTTGGGGGGCCGGAGTAGAAGGAAGAGGAATTCATGGCCACCTCCACCCTCATCCCAGCATCCATGTTCCCTAAAAGCGCCCATTAGAAGCTCTTGTTCTCTTCCTTCCTACACTTTTCTAACAAGATGCGCATCCAGTTCAGGAACATACCTCAGACTGCCGGCCATTCTGCCCTTATCTCTTCTGTGTTATTTCATCTTTACACTGAGTGTTAAAAAGCACACCTCGCTGGGCTATGGATTGTGTGGATTAAAACTGACAGTCATAAAGTGCACCCCAAATCTAAGTAAGGACAGGATCTCGGTGCATGGCAACAATGAGCTGTCATCATTATTTATCACGCCAGAGAAGGGGCGTGAACTGAGAGGGTGTGAGAAGCGGGTTAGGACCCTGGCTCTGCTCCTAACTAGCTATGTGACCCTCCCCTGCACCTGCAACGTAAAATATAAAAACATCTGCCTCTCAGAGCTTGGGAGAGCCAGGTGAGGCCCATTAGATAAAAAAGGTTTGTACACTGGAAAGGCCGATTCCTGTTAGGATCATTATTACTGTGATTCTCCTGACTGTGAAATGTTTCCCTCAAAGGGCGCAGGGAAGAGGGATGGAGCAGAAAGGCCAGCTGGGGGAGGGGCGCTTCCCTCTAGTCCCCACAGGAGCAGGGAGCAGCTGGGCGTCCATCTGCCCTGCGGGGGCGGCCACACCTTTGTGCCTGTCTTTTGTGAGTGTGCCTGAGTGTCTGTGTGTGCAGGTGCAGGTGGCTGCTGGAACATGGCACAGGCACAAGGAATGCCAGTGTCTGTGGCCAGAAACTACTTGTGGATTGTGAGTCCCCTCCAAGAAGAATACAAATGCCATTGGACTTCTAAGATGCTGGCAGTGGGCCTAGTTTTGGCCCATGGGAGATGGAGGAAAGAGGTGAAGGCAGGGTGTTGGGGTTGGTTTTTAGGCTAGGGCCTGGGGATAGGTCTCAGCAGTGGTCCCCTCTGTGGGGATGGGGGGCACTACAGGAAGAGGATGTTGCCAGAGGCCCTTGTGGTCAGAACTGATGGACCTGGGCTCATATCCTAGTGATAGGACCACAGACAGGCCAGTGCTTTTGTTCCTCAGGGCCTCGGTTCCCTGGCGTGTAAAATGGGGGTACTAGGAGAGCCTAACTCCTAGAGCTCTTCGGGAGTTTAACAGAATGCACATCAAGCAACAGGCACAGAGTGAATTATTGTTGCTAATATTAACAGGCAGCCCAGAAGGAGGGAGGGAGAGGGCCTCAGGAGGCACTCATGCTTTGTAAGCTGTAAAAGGTAGCTGTGGGTTGTCACGCTGGGGTGGCTGAAGAGGCCACAAGGAGCAGCATTTCGGTCCAGGACAAAAGGGCCACTGTCCCAGGGAGTGAGGCAGAGGGGCTGGGCTTCCATCACTCCTGCTGGTTCCCCTTCCTGCTTCCCCACACTTCCTCTAGAGCTTCCTGCCCTGGGAGCCTGCGTGGTCAGGCCCCTGGGGCTTCCCTCTCCACCTGGTGGTCCCAGGCTGAGCAAAGCTTTGGGGACCGGGAGAAGCAGCGGGGAGTTCAGGAGCTCTGAGGCAGGCCTCCTTCCCTCCACCCCATCCCCCAGGCTACTCTCCCTCCCAGGAACAGTCGCTGCTGCTACTACTGCAGGACCGGGGCGTCGGGCAACTCCTCGCCCAGGGCAGAGACATCAGGATGAGCAGGGGAATGGTGGGGGGAGAACGATGAGGTTCAGACTTTCCGGCAGGAAGGATGTGACAGCTGTGACAGTTCTCAAGCCAAAGGACCACAGTGAGCCTTGTTCTGCATCCAGCGGGGCCAAGGTCAAGGGAGCAGGTAAGAGCAGGACTTGGGAGTTAGACCACCCAGGGTTCAGGGTCAAAGCGCTAGTCCTCCCTAACTAGCTCTCTGCCCTTAGTTTCTGACCAAGTTTCTCAGCCTCTTGGAGCCTCAGTTTCTGCATCTGTCAAATGGAAAGAAGGAAACGGGTACCGTGAAGGTAAAGTGAGACTCTGCATGGAAGTCCTGAGCTCAGGGCCTGGCTCACAGTGAGGGCTCAGTAAATGTTCATGGACTCTGAATGAACGTGTGGAAACCGTAGTGGGCGGGGGTGGGGTGGAGGCGGTACATGTGGCTATCTGTGGGAAAGCCATCCCCCACCAGCTGGGGGTGGGGGGGCATGTCTGAGGACCTTGTCACCTCGGCCCAGGACACCCATGGTTCTGCTGGTGTGAAGGGAGCAGCTTCCAAAACCGGGACAGGCTGGAGTATGGATTGTTCCCTGTGGGCACAGCCAACGCTTCTGTGAGCCAAACAAAGGGCCTCAGGCTGGGTCTAGATTCAGAGTGCCGAGCGTCACCTGTGCCAACAGATTCTAATTCACAAAACCACTTCCGAGCAGTGGTTCTCAAAGTGTGCTTACTGGACGTGTGTTAGAAATGCAAAGTGTCAGTCCCACTTCAGATCACGGATCGGAAACTCGGGAGGGAGGGAGGGAGGAGCTGGAGCTGCGTTTGCATTTCCCCAAGCCCTCGGGGAGATTCTGGTGGGAGCTAGAGCCTGAGAACCCTTGCTTTAGAGTTTGCAAAGCCAACTCCTAGTTGCAAACGAACACGTGGGTGTTATCCAGCCCATCCTACAGTTAAGAGTAATGAGGGTCGCTTTGCCCGACAGCATCACAGAAGTGGAAGCAGTGGGTCCAGGACCTACAGCTCCTGGTTCTGGAGTAATTTTGTTTGCGAGCTCAAGATCAGACTGCTGACTCAGGTGGGGAAGGGGGGGGCTCTGAGCTGAGAGGCCGCGGGCGGGGCGGGGAGGGGCTGCCTCCCACCCCGGAGAGGAGGCTGGCCTGTTTGTTTATTATTCCCTCATTTGCGCCCCAACCCTAATCTACATAAGTAAAGCCCAGCCTGGCACCTTTGAGTGATCGGTTTATTAATACTCGCGGGCCGCTGCCGAGGCGGATTGCAATAACAAAGGCGGCTCTGCTGCCGCGCACGGAGGCACCATTATGTAATTGCTCCGAGGAGGAGAGGAGGGCCCGAGCGCCAGAGGTCCTGAGCGCACTTAGCTGCAAGCTCCCGGCGGGCTCGGGAGGCGGGGAGGCTGCATTTCTGGGCGCTGGGGCTCCGGGCGCGGCGGCGGGTGGGAGGAGCCCCTGCCCAGGAATCCTCACCTTCAGAACCCCTGGCTCTCCTCCCACACCCAGAAGCAAAGAGGCCCCCAGAGGCCCAGCGAGGGCTTCCGCTCCCCCACTCACCACCTTCCCTCCTTGCCCCACCCTCACTCTGATTTGGGGGAGAGTGAGAAATAAAAACAACACTTTGGGCAACTTCCGGGGGCGGGGCGGGGGCGGGCAAGAAAAGTGGCTTGTGAACCTGAGGCCCAGAAAGGGCTGGGGTCAGACACTAAGAAATCCTGTCCCTCCACGGCCCATGTTTTTTACATCGTACTCCCTAAGGGTCTTCATAACCACCTTGGGTCAGTCGTTTCCCCAGTGGGGCTCCAGGTTACGAGATGCAAAGTACCGTGTGCATCTCCGTATTAGGGGCACAGGCAGCACCGCAGCCGGGACACTGGTGTCCACTGAGCAGACGGGGTCAAAGACGTGGCCCTGGCTATTTGTGTTGGGGGTGGGGGGTGGGTGTCAGCACACCAGGCCCGGCCCCCACACTCCGCACCGCGCCCAGACTCTGAGGGGGTTCCTGGCCTTTGCCCAGGTGGGCCCTGGGTCGGGAATGCCCTTCTCCCAGCCACCAGGCAATCTCATCTCCGAGAAGTCTTCCCAGCATTCCTTCCTCCCACCCCCGCACACACACCAGGAAGCCTTCACGTCTGTCTCCTCCAGCTCTGGAAGCACCGGGTGACA